ATACCGTTGACATATCACCCTGCTCGCAGCAGTGGTGAAATCCCACTGGCGCCGCTTTCTGTTTGGTGTGACGTTTTTTGTTCTAAATTACCAGTTTCGGTCTAAACTTTTTCTTCAACAACAACCAACATATTAATAGCAAACAGCCTCTACTTTTCAGGTCATATCAACTTCTTGTTGGATCTTAACATTTACGTTTTTATATTATTATATTCCGTTTGCATTTTTTTTTCTCAATAATTTCTTCTATATTACTTTTTGCTTTTTCTTACGTATCCTATTGTTAATTTAAAAAAGATCCAACGTCATTTATGGGTTGAATCTGTCATTAAGGCTTCTTCTCTATCAGAATACGCGAATAAGTCTCTTACCCCTTATGAATCTAAAATTCATCGTCTCTACGGATTCAGCACCATTGGTTCTTCAACATATTTTCTAGCAACATATCCAGCTTCTATATTAAAACTGTTTACTTGAATAACTGATAGTTTCGTACTTAATTCCTTTAATTTCATTAAACAATTAAAAACCATTACATTAGATCCAAACGATATTCTGGTTAGTTTCGACGTAGAATCCCTTGCTACTAAAGTCCCCACTCCTGAAACTCTCAACATTATTTCAGATATATTAAAATCCGAGAATGTGGATCATCTTAATTGAAAAATGCTTACCTGGAACATCGTAAATATGAAAAAGCCATTCAAAGAAAGACACCTTAGATCTAAAGCCAAAAGTATAGACATGCTACGTTGATGATACCTTTATATAATTTTTTTTTTATAAAAAACCAACACATGAGAAATTCAGAAGATTAGTAAATAAAATACATATTATGACCGCACTGAGATTCTTATTCGCAAAATATGTTGCATCTACCCACCGTCTTCTTTTTTTACGCAGCGGCAAATTAAGCGCTGTTTTTTGGTGTTTTCGCCGCCCCGAGAGTCCATTTTACACTGACGTTTAGCCAATAGTGTGAAGCATATGTAACCTTTATCAACATACCGCTTTGGCAATCCATATGGAATGTTTTGTCGGGGTTAATATGGGTATTAAACTAAATCCTTCAATATTTGGTTGGTATTCGGGTTTTTGCTATTACCAACTATTACACACAACGATTACATACCAGTTTCAGCCAAGCTCTGAAGAAGCCAACAGGATGATTGGCGAAACGTCAGCAATTTCGATTAAGCAAAAACCGACGCAGGAGGAATCCGGAATTTTTGTAAAAAGGATTACACAACTGTCAGTAGACTGTGTTTTGTGCCGAAACTGCATTACCTAAACATTTAAACTTAACATTAAACATAAAAAGTCGACAATACCCAACATTTTTTTTGTATTCAATAATGGCATAACCTAGAATTTAAAACGAACAGTAAATTTCTAGTTTCATTTGCGTGTTTCCTTTTGCTCGCCACAGTGACCACCACGATGACCCATTTCGATAATTCCACTCAAATTGAACGATGTTAACGCAACAAAGGCGGAAAACGGAATAATCCAAACGTATATTGAATCGCATACCTCCATTTTATGTTTCCGTTTTAGGCAGACCTAGATAATTACCTGTAATAATCGGATCATGAACAGCATGTGCTGGTGCTTACATATTTTAGCCTCAAAATATGAGTTATTTGCTTAAAGCTTAAAGTTAAAAATTTTGGATTATTTGACAATGTCACGGCGAACTTGCTAACTATAAGATGAAGATTTTTGTATTTTTTTGGTCCATTATTTTTAGAATTTCGTGCCCAACAAGTTTTGTTGTTATTATGTTTGAGAGTTCCATTTCTGTCCCAACCTCCTAATTGTGTATCCAAAAAATAGTACAAATGAGTATTAATGTTGACTGATAAACCACGTCTGTCGACCCACAATCATTAATTAACGCATTGCCATACACAACTTAATGGGGTGTAACTTCAGTTTAATATGGAAACGTAAAATTTACGTGCACCGTGTGCCAAATAAAACGATCCACTATACGATCTGGTGCCCCAAAGGTGTCCCCCCGACATCAACTTTGTTATTTTAAATGGGGACCCAACATGATTTTTGGAATCTTTGGTTAAAATAATGATCACTGTCTTTAAGAAATTCCTACTCGAATTTGCGTAGTTTAAACAGAAATTGACATTGTGCTTTTTTTTTCATATTTTGATTGTCCCATATAAAATTGTGTTGTGACGCTACTGGTACAGGTATTACAACGAAAATTTAACCACAGACTAAGATGATACACTTCTCAATCAGTTTGACAGATGGTCAGCTTATACAGGGTGTCCTAAATAGGTGGTATCGTTTTGGCGAATTCAATTTACAAAATATCGAGATTTTCAAATGGAACACACTATATTTTTATTCAGATATCAATTCCAGGACAAAAAACAAGGTAACTTTGTAATTTGTCTTGTATTTAAATTTTACTTATTTTTTAAGATATCTGAGATTTAAGACAACACTCATATAAATTCTTGTTGAAATTAAAGCTGACCACATTAGACACGATACTACTTCTTTTAAAGATTTAATATTCCAGTTATACGAATAAAAGCTATTGCTAACAATATTTTTGAGAAAATCTTCAAAATTCATATGCAATAATCATATCGTTTATTATCTGGCTTGATTGAAAATATCTAATAATAAAAATAAATAATTAAAGTTTATAGGAACATTTTTAACTAAACTTTATAGACGAAATTAACCAATACTTTTTAGTTAACTGTTTAACTAACAAGTGACCTAATGTTTGCAGCTTTAAATTTAACAAGATTTTATATCTTGAACTTCGAATATTTCAAAAAGTACGAAAAATTTAAATATAACCTTACGTTACCTTATAGAATTGATATCTGAATAAAAATATAGGTTGGTCCCTTTGAAAACCTTGAGATTTTGTTGATTGAATTCGCAAAATGGCACCACCTATTTGGAACAAGAGCGTCACAACACAATTTTATACTATAGTGGATCGTTTGATTTGGCATACGGTGTACATGTTTATGCAGTATGCGAAAAGAATACAGGTGCGTACATCTCTCGTATTTATGTAACATAAGTACATAATATTTATGCTCAGGTGGCACAGACACAATTGTCTCGAATTTAGTGCCGCTATCAGTATAAATTATGGGGTCATCCCAAAGAAATGTCTTCTACATTTTGTTTTTAATGGAAGTCTCTGTATATTATTATTTACTTTAATTGTGAATAATGTAGGCTTTTCGAAAACGTATTTTTAAATTTCGTAGTCTAGTTGGTCGTTAAAGTTAAGCAAATGCAAACAGTTGCCAGAATTCTCTATTTTTGATTAATCTGAAAATTTCGTACTCAATTTACGTGGACCAGATCTTAATAGAGAGGGTATTCCTGGAATTCATATTATTCAATAATCAATGCTGATGATATATTTACCCATTTGTATCTTTGTCACCTGGAATTGCCTTTAAACTCCTCAAAAGTGCTCCATATTGTTGTCAAAGCCTACAAGTGCAACATGGAAGTGAAAATTGTGAATACCGAACTATAAAAATGAAATACTGGTTGGCAATAACTCAGCGGAATCATTATTTTAGCCAAATTTGCTGTATAATTTGTACTACCGACGTGAAGCGCTAGCTTAAAAAAAACGAAATAAAAATAATGGTTTTTGGTTTAAAAAATATGTGTACGATGTTATTATTTATTCTCCGCAGTGAGCACGTTATGACTCATTCGAGCATTTTAAACCTTAACTGTCACTTTTATGTCTGCCATTTATTTATCTAAAGTAGTGATAGTTATTGCTGTGTGCCACATGTGCGGATTGTTTAACATTGAATCGACGTTGTAATGTTGCCAAATTTAATTTTTGGTGGACTGTTTTCTTATTTAGATTCACATAGGGTTTTTGTTTTTTTTTTGCTGTTGTAATTGCAAAAAGACAGAAGGCTCTATTTTTCATCTGGATTTTGAAATCGATTTGACATTGTAGAGTAAAAATTTGACACAAAATCCAATATATTAACTTAGAAAAGTAACCAAAACTGCCAGATTTCAACTTAAGGAAAAAGGAAAGTTTGATTAAATTGATTTAAATTATTTTATTATGGATCGCAAACGACGAGGCTTTAACTGTCTTGTCAAGAATGTATTTCTTAAAAGACCTGCTGGAAGAAAAATCCTCGTCTTATACAAATCTGACAACATCGCTAAACATAGCTGTATTATTGACTCGAGGGATCATCCGCTTGGATTTAATTTTATTTTTGTTTGCCTTACAAGTTTGCAGTACATGTGCATCCAACCACAGGCAACAAGAAACAATATCACGTCGATATCCTCGGAGCTAATAATTTGCATTTCGAATGTTGCGTTTGTTCTCTATTGTACTGTACTTTATTCGTTATCCGACAGTCAATGTTTATCTCCGTTTAAAATAAATGTTGATTTAACTCAACCAAAATCCTTGCTAAAGCCAATTCTCATCAGACTGCATCTAAATAAGTGTTGTCATATTGTTATTTTAGAAATTCCCCTCTGTTCAATTTGTGGGAACCAATTGAGATTTCCTTTTTTTCTTGTTTGCAGTTTGTTTATTCCTTTTGCTAAATAGGACGGGACCAAACGCTCTAATGTAAAAAAAAGAAGGATTTTTTTTGAAGACGAAAAATTAATTCTTTTTTTACATTAGAGCTTTATTCGCACTATTGTTGTTATGTGCATTTATAAATCGGCCTCTCAGATAAGAAAATCGGTCCGGTTTTCGTATGCTGACGTTTGAATATTGAATAATATAATAAAAATTAGACTAGAAAATATCGCATTATTATTATAAAAAAGTAGTAGTAGGTAGATGTGTTTGATGTAACTAATTGAAAATGAGAGTCTAGAATAAAAGTAAAGTATTTATTTGGTTCGGCTTCTTCATTAAGATACTAACAAACGTAGAAGAGTAAATAAAATAATAAGTTGCATTGCAAATTATTTTTTGTTCTTTTTTTTTTCAGGAGATGGTCCACGCAAAGGACCCTCCGTCTTATTATTTAAATAAACTCCGTACATATTTGGACCCCAAAGCATCCAGAAGTCATAGGGTAAGTTTTTCCCAATTTATGTGAACTTATACTAAAAAATGTATTAAACCTGTACCCATGAGTGCAAACAATTCTCATAAACTGTTTCCTGTCTGTTTTGTTGCATATACCTTAAGCGGCCTATACGCATGCAGGCAAGTGTTAAGACTTGCCTGTACAGGGCGACACACGCGAGTAAGTGCGAATGTGTATGGCTCAAAACTCAAGGCGCGTTCAATTCCAAGCGCGGCTCGAAACGAATCAGATAGTGTCTGATTTTTAGAGCAAATGCAAAGGCCAACTTCATTTTTCGCACAGCAGCAGGCCCCACCAACTGGTGAACCTCGAGGTTTACCTGAATAGTGTGTGGCCGCAATTGGTTTCGCACTTGCGCGCGGACTTGCCTGCATTATTAGAGTTAGAGTTTTGTTCAAAAATAAAAAGTTGTCGGTTTGGTCCGCCTGTCTTTTGTGAAGAGAGAGGATTAATAAAAAAAAAACTTTCCACTGGTATACCTTCCCTGGGTTTAAAGATTTCCTACAAAAACGTTTAAAATACACGTCTGACCCACTTCAGGGTTTTGAACTATAAAAACCCTATCTATCATAATCTTGTCGCCTATCCCATTAATTTTACCATTTTACATTTTACCTCGCTTTGACCGGAGGTGTCTAACCCATTTCCTAAAAGGCTTCGGAAATTAAAACCGAATTTTTTATCGCCCAACCTTATCACCAATCGTAAAGTAAATAAATTTCGTGGCAAATTTTCGTTTTGAATTTGTTTTTTTTTTATTTGAAAGGTGCAAACACAAAGTTAGATTAGTGTTATTTACGTCGAGATTGACATATTTTCTCATTAAACTCAATTCTTGTGGATGGGCTATAAACAAAACTTGGGTTTAAATTCTCAAAATAATAATGGCATTGATAATTTTTTTATTAAGTTATTGTTATTATTTATTTGCAAAAGTAGATATTTCAAAACAATATTTTTAGTATTTAAGTGATGCTTGTCCATGACTTTCCGCAAATAAACAATCACCCTAGTTCCACTAAGACCGTAGGCGCGCGTGGGTGGGCTCTCGCATAAATTTGCACAAAATGTAGAACCTCTAAACTAAAATAAACATCAATAAACAGAAAATAACCCTCAACATTAGTAAATACTATCCACTCTAAAACTCGGTAACATAATTATTATTTTATACCCAGCTAAAATACACTAATCGATGCCAATAGAAGAAACCCTCTCCTGTATATACACAATATAAGACACAGATATATACATAACAAAGTCTTTAATTGAAAGAATGGAAGAGACAAATCAATTGTCGTATTTTGTTTGTGTTCACTTGTGCAACGATTTTTTTTATTTTTATTTTAAACATGTGTATCCGATCAGTGGTAATTAGAAGTTGCTTTTGGGCTGACGGCAAATAGTTGAATAATTTTTGCGATAGGAAACTAAAGTTTTTTTGTGTTTTACGTTTGTTAGTTTTTTCGACAGCTATGATCAAATTTTGTTGCCACCGTGTTCCGTAATTGTGGTTTATAAATTTTAAACTATGTTTGTTTTTGAAAGTGTATAACATTATTTGTAAAAAATATAAGAAGCTGACATCAAAAATGTTTGCCTCGCTATACAGCAAACGACTTGGGTACATTCTATCTTTCTTAAGCAGTATTTTTAAAAAGTACTTCTGCAAAATTTCAACCCTCGTGAGATGCCATACTGGAGTCTAGACTGTACAAGAGCATAATAGATTGTCCTTAAGTGTTTTTCGCTTAAGAAGTTTGCTAAATATTTAAATATTTTTACATTACTGGCATGGTGGTCCCACCTCAGATGCCCACCCCCAAGTATTTGATTTTGTCTGTCGATTTGATCTCTGCCTTTTCCGTGTTACTAGCGATAAGTGTATCAAAATCTGGGTCTGTTTTGCTGGTACAACTAAATGTGCCAAATTTTGTTTTTGATAATTAATTTGATAAGTTGTCTTGTTTTATTTCCAAGATCGAAAATTGCCGTCGTTTTGCGTGGTCTATTGATGACAACGCAGCAAAAACCGCAAAACAATGATGCCAACAATAAAAAACAAAATTGGCAGGCCTTTCAAACCCGGTGTTCTTTTTTAGTCACATTTTCTCATACCCTATAAGATTTTTTAGGTCCATTATGTAAAACTTCATAAACAGTGCCGACCTCCATTAGTCGTAATAGGCCAGAGTGAACTGACCAGAACTATAACTTGTTTTCTAAACAAAGTATCGGAAAGTGAACAATTTTTTTTGTAAATGTCTTTTATGTTCATTACAGAAAAGGAAATTGGTTTTGGAATCGACGTCTACTCAAGTTCTTAGAGATTTGGAAATTTCGTTGCGCACAAACCATATAGAGTAAGTACCATAGAGTGTTTAGCATATGTTAAAGTGATATGTGATATTTATTTTTGTAGATGGGTTCGGGAATTCCTCAATGAAGAAAACAATGGCTTAGATGTTTTAATAGATTATCTCAGTTTTCGCCTTGGAATGATGCGACACGAACAGAGGATAGCCGAATCTCGATCGACATCAGAGGAACGGCTTAACCCCCAAGCTCAAAGCACTTTAAATTCTACAAATTTCGAAAAAACCCTTGATAAAACCTTTGATAGCAGAGGTAACGGTTACATGAGGATGCCTTTAGAACTCAGTGATAGTCCCAGTTTGAAGAGGCGCTCAAAACATGTGGCCAAACTGAACATGGGTGAATCGAAAGATGATATACACGTTTGTATAATGTGCATGAGGGCTATAATGAACAACAAAGTAAGATATTTAAAGTGCCCCAAACTGCCTATATTACCTTAGTAATTTTAAGTTTTGATTTTTCCTTTCTTCTTTTTTTTTAACTCATTATTCATTATGACCGTTGATTCGACATCACATTAAAGGTAGTAATACAATGTAGAGACCATGTTATAAATGCTTAATATTTAATGATAAAGACAATGTTGAAAATATTTTCATTTACCAAAATATACCTGGTAATTAACTAAAAGATTTAAATATTGGTTAATATATAATATATTGTCCAATAATAAAAATACACCATCAACAACAGTCAATAAAAGCGTCGTAAAAAAGAAGTAAGCGGATCGAATTGTTGTTTGCTCAATACAAAGGAGGAAGAAGCAGGAATTTTTCAATATTCAATTTTGTTTTAGTATGGTTTTAATATGGTCATACAACACAGAGAAGCAATAAATTGTATATCACTTAGTTTAATACACAAAAGCCTACGCACAAAAGCACTGGTATTGGAACTCTTAGCTGCGATATGTTTGGTAAAAGGCGGACACGAAATTATATTGTCCGCTTTTGATAATTTTAAAGAAGTCTGTCACGAGAGGTACAGATTTCAAACACTCATGGATTACTTTTTAAATTATGAAGTATTTCATATAGAATTTATGGTAAGTAATATATATTATTTTGTTGCAGCCAATAATTATATTTTTTTTGTTCAGGTAGCGTGTATGCAGTTCGTAAACATTATAGTACATTCGGTGGAAGATATGAATTTCAGGGTACATTTGCAATATGAGTTCACCGCCTTAGGACTGGATAGCTATTTAGAAAAATTGAGATTCACTGAAAGTGAAGAGCTTCAAGTGCAGATATCAGCTTATTTGGATAACGTTTTCGATGTGGCAGCTCTCATGGAAGATAGCGAAACTAAAACGGCCGCTCTAGAGAAAGTTACGGAATTGGAGGATGAATTAGCCCAGGCAATAACTTTAATTCCATTTTTAAAGAATTATTTTAAATGTAATTGCCCGCTTATTTTTATTTTCACTTTCATTGTCTTCAACTTTATAATTTTGTAATCAATGTTTTAGATGCACGAAAGGCTACAAGATATTGAACACACAGCTTTAGAAAAAATAGCCATGCTCGAAACAGATTTGATTCAGACAAGGCAGGAAAGGGATGAACTATTGGAGTGTAAAAAGAGAACAGATGAAGAAATGTCGACATTGCGCAGGGTTGTGCAACATCACGAACAGGAATCCCGAAATAGGCAGTCAATGTTTGAATCAAAAATTGCCGATTTGGAAAATGTTGGCAATACTTCTGTGGTAACCTCTAGTAAGTGTTTCACCAGATTCTATATATCTGTTTCTAAGCTAGTTATCTTGTTAGTGTCCTTGTTAACTTGATAAATAAATCTATTTCAGCATCTGAACATTCGGGTTTGCATCAACTGCCTTCAGATGTAAAATCGGCCGCGTCGACTCCTTCCGTTCCCGTGCCTCCACCTTGTCCACCACCAGTAGTAATTGCACCACCGCCACCGCCTTGTCCTCCTCCACCACCTTTAAAATTGCCTGGTGCTCCTATACCTCCACCCCCCGCTGGCTTCATGCAAGCTCCGGAAGGAGCCATGACGATCAAACGCAAAGTGCAAACCAAATACAAATTGCCAACCATCAATTGGATTGCTCTCAAACCAAATCAAGTGAGGGGTACGATATTCAACGAATTAGATGATGACAAGTTGCACGGGTACATCGACTTCTGCGAGTTTGAGGAGAAATTTAAAATTGGCAACACCGGACCATTAGCGAACGGCGGTTGCGAAGCCGATGGTTTAACTTCTTTTCCCAGCAAGAGGTTTAAAAAACCCGAAAATGTTACTCTGTTAGAGCATACCCGGCTAAGGAATATAGGTAATTATTTAATTCTCAATATCTTTAAACCACATCTTTACTTCATACGAAAATAGTTTACCATATTCTAATATATATAAACATGAAATAATTAAATTAAAAATGGAAATATCTGCGAATTTCAGTATTTTGGTTTATAATGCAAACATTTTAATTATTTTCTGTTACATACAATAAATCACCCGTTAGACTTGCCTAGGCAGAAAAGATGATAAGGTCGTGTGTTTTAAATTTCTGCAAGTTCTCAATCTAGTTGTTTTAATTGCTTCAAGTTTGACAAATCTTATATGAAATAGACAAATCCGACAAGTTTCACTAAACGAGGATATATTTAACTAAATTTCGTTAATATTTAAATATTTAAAAAATATAAAACTGCTTACTAAGCAAAACTATGAAAAAGCACGAAGGTGTGCCAATTTTTTCAAAGTACACGTAAGAAAAGTTAATATAAATGTTAAAATTATGTTGTATTTTATATAAATTAAAGCAGGGCTGTCAGGGACTATTTTTGATTAAAAAAAAAGGCAAAAACAGTTGTATAACTTATATAGAACACACAATTAATTTATTTTAAAGATTTTTAAATTTACCCTATTAGAAACGCATTTGCAGGACGGACGATTTTCTTACCCATTTTATCTACATTGCGATTTGTCCCCGTCTTAGTCCTCCTCGTTAGTGCATAAAAAACTGAAATAACAAACATTTTTTCATTTGAACCATTATTTGCTTGTGTTTCTGTACATGGTTCTAAAAATTTCAAAGTGTTAATCAAATTATAAAATGTGTTTGGTTTGGCATTTTACCCGTATTTTCGAAAGTTCTTGAAAAAATAATTAAACAGCAAATTTAAGATCATTTAAATATTAACCAGTTACTTCCCTCCTCGCAGTTAGGATTTCGAAAAGGGTACAGCTATACGTCAGTACTATTAAATATAACAGACGACATTCTTCGGAAGAGTGATATGAGCAAAACACACTTATTTTGTTGGATTACTCAAAAAAGCTTTCGACAAAATCAATCACGAAGTTCTGTTGTCAACACTGCATTATTTAGTTTTTCCAAGTGCTGCAGTCTCTTTATGCGGAGCTACTGTACTGACCACTTTCAGTTTGTTGCAACATATAAGAGTCAGGTAATGTTGATCTACGGTATCAGGCGACGTGATCGCATATTGTATAAACGTCGACCGTTTCATGCAGTCGTTTTTTACAATAATATAATTTTAAATGACATATCTCTTTGAAAAAATAAAATTCTGAATTGATGTCCACACTTTGTATCTTTGATATAGGGGTCTTATTTCTCCTCCCCCGCATTGTGAAACATCGTTTTCCTACTGTGTCTACAAATGGTATAATGCTGTTCCCAATAACTGATGCCCACTTTTAGAAAAACTTATAAAACTTTTCTTTATAATCAATCTATTAGCCAAAGATAATTAGCCGAAGTTGATTTCTATTAATAAAATACTGTACAGTTTTGATTTTTATGTATTCATGTTAATGAATTGATATATTCAGTATGTATCATAATATGTTTAGATATAAGTTGCCATGAAATTAGGGACTGGGCTTTGAGCTTTGATCTTTTGCGCTGTGCGTTTCGTTTATTGCTTATAGATAAAGGTAAATGCAAAGTGCAAAAAATGAATATATTATTATTATTATTATTAAATTACTGCACCATATCTTTTTTCCAGCAATATCTCGAAGAAAACTGGAGATGCCTCCTGAAAAAGTAATAAATGCAATAAATATGTTAGACCTCAAGCAACTTTCTTTAGAAAATGTAGAGTTGCTTCAAAGAATGGTGCCAACGGAACAGGAAACTAAAGCGTACCGAGAATACATACTGGAGAAGAAAAATATCAACTTACTTACAGAGGAAGATAGGTTCCTGTTGCAATTAACCAAAGTTGAAAGAATCTCGGCAAAATTATCCATCATGAGTTACATCGGGAACTTCTTTGACAACTTACATCTTATACAACCAGTAAGTTGCACTGTTTTTTTAGCCACCTGTTAAAATAAGTCAAATAGCATATTTTGCAACAAGTTTTATAAAGAAACTTAAGTCATAGACTTGGCAGGAGCGGAGCGGAAAAAATCTTTTTTGAATTTTTATTAGTCGGAGGTGTTTATAACTGGGATTTGGAAGTCAGTTTGATCCCATTATGTGTAGGTATAGCGATATTTCGATATCGCTTGAATACAAATATAGTCTGGACCAAATAAACTTTTAATCATGACCGATAAAGCTGATCATTTTCTACTGATCCTCTTTCAAGAAAGGTTAACAGATAACACATAATAACAGGACAGTTCAAACATTCATTGCAGAAATCTCTTAAAATCGTAAAAGTTTCCAAAAACTAAAATTGATCATCAGTGCTCAAAACGGAAAATGGAGGAGGTATAGCAATGTGCATACCTTGGACAAAGAGGCAAATATGATTACACTCCTAGTTAGTTGAAGTTTCAGTGCTGATTTTTACAATACTTTTAACATTAAACTTTAATGTAATTTAATTTTGACGGACATTTTGAGAAAGCTAGATCTCTCTCCACAAATATTATAGGAGGTTTATAAACGCCATTGAAGCTTTTAAGAAAATTTAATACCCAACTTTTAACAACTTATGAAACTCTACATGCACATGTGTCTTGTGAATATCAGTTGTTAACACTTAACTGTTAAAGTACTTTAACCAGCCAAGCAAATATAATACTTTTGGTGCTTTCAATAAACTAATCGAAGTTCTGAATACCTGAAAGTGCAACAATTATGGTTCAGAAACGTTTTTGAAACGATACGCTAGAACTAGTTTCCATCCACAAAATGATTCATAATTTCCTCTTTTCAGCAAATACATGCCATCATCTCAGGATCGAATTCCGTCAAAAACTCAAGAAAGCTTCGTTCTGTCTTGGAAGTTATTTTAGCTTTTGGCAATTATTTAAATAGTAGCAAAAGAGGACCAGCATATGGCTTTAAACTTCAATCTTTAGATTCTTTACTGGATACTAAATCGACTGATAAACGATTGTGCCTTCTACACTATATTGTAGCTACCATAAGACAAAAGTTTCCCGATTTGCTTAACTTCGATTCCGAACTTCATTATATTGATAAAGCTGCCGTTGGTAAGTATTAAGGGAAATATTTGGAAAAAGGATTGTTTCAAACAAAAATTGAAAACGCATTGAAATCTTCAATCCAAGCGACAAAGTTTTAGAGAGCAAACCTAGAAATTTTATTTTAAGTTGTGCTTGTGCGAATTTTCAGACATTACTATAAGTTTTAATGCGAAAACTGGACCTTCGGACGAAAGATAGGTGATTTTATAATTGCATGACAACTAATATAATTCCGAACGCGCGTTTTGCTAACCTATGTTAATGTTATCGGCAAAAAATGTGAACAGTTTATATTCAAGTAATCAATTATTTTATTATTTCTTTAGTTTATTTTTTAACATCATCACCTGAATTGTAATAAAATTAAACTTTATTCCGTTTTAAAATATTAAAACAATGTTAATTTTGCATCAACTTTGATGATTTCTATAGGTGCATTTGAAGATTTTCTTTGAAATCGATTATTTAAGATAAATTTAAAGAAAAATACTTTATAATGTATTCAGTCTAGTCGGGTTTGATTCTTATTTCTAAAACTGGATTAGAAAACGTGAAAAAAAAATAGTTTTTCCGATTTTCCGAAAATTCAAACTGAAACCGAAATATTTTTTCAATATTTTGTAAAATAACCTAATTTTTAACTATTTTTAACTATTTTTATTATATTATTTATCATATTTAATCTATTATCGGTTGTTTTGACTGTATAGCATGGGATATAATTCACCTTACTTTTGTTTAGTCTCTTTGGAGAATATCTCGACAGACGTCCACGAATTGGACAAAGGAATGGAAGCTGTCAGAAAAGAAGCAGAAATAAGGGGTAGAGGCAGCCATAGTTTAGTAGTTCGAGATTTTCTCGCCAATGCAGAGGATAAGCTGAGGAGGTTGAAAAGTGATTCAAAGATGGCACAAGAAGCATTTAGGGAGTGTGTTGAGTATTTTGCTGAATCTCCAAGAACTACTGATGCCAATAACTTCTTTTCGCTGTTGGTTAGATTTGTAAAATCATTTAAGGTAAACTATTGCGTGAATTAACACTTACCATTATCTCAATGAGTATTATGTTTCTAGACTGCAGACCAAGAGAATGAGCAGAGAAGAAGGTTAGAGCAGGCCGCCCAGAATGCCAACAATAAAGCCAACGAAGATGTAATCAAGAAGAACAAAATAAATCAGAAAAAACAACAGGTATGTAACATAAGTACGTTAGTGATAAACGAACTATGTAGTATGCTTAGCAAGGGTAAGCCGGGTCTTAGAAAAACTGGTTCTGTAAAATGGTAGTACTTATTGCAAGATGTACGCTAATTAATGCTTTTGCTTGTTATTTTTTTTTAATATAGGCTAGTGTTGTAAAAATTTATTGTTTGCTTGTGTTTCTTTATTATGTCAAATATTTTGGTTTTTGTTGAGAGTTATCTTTAATAAATTGCCTTTGCTGTTGAATTTCTACCATTATCGTTGAACTTCATTAGGGTGTGGCACATTACAACAGATGAACTGAGACAGTGCAAATATAGCTAATTAAGGTGAGCAACTTTTCAAGCAATAAGCATTGCAATACCACCTATGTGAGGATGCTTCCCCCTAAATTTTTTCAAATGGCAATAAGGCACACTTGTTGAGAAAGGGTTTTTAATTCCCTATGAAAATTCAAAAATCAATTTAATTTATTTTATTTACACTGGAATCAGCCTTGCCTAAATATATAGGTTACTCAGGCAGTACGCCCGTGTTATGTTTATTGTGTGATTTTTGAAAACGGGGAAATATTCTATATTCTTATATTTATTCCTATTGAAAAAATGGTGATCTTATCCCAGCATTATAAAATTTTACTAAAAATGCATATTTTTTGGGAACGCCGTGTTTATTATATGATTATTAGCCATCTAAATGTATGTGACAAAAAAAGTGACATTTAGCTCCCACAAAATTTGTTAACACTTCGGATCCCTATATAATTGTGGTCAATTTATTTATGCTAAATTTCTATAAATTAATTGAAACTAGAATCCCACGTTTGAATATACTTATATTGTTTTCGGATAATGTGCTACCCCCTTGCATGTGTCTTAATATCTTTAATTCATAATCCACCCTTCCAAAAAGGTCATGAAATGTTTACTAACAGCATTTTGCCTAACTTTATCATACACCCTTTTCTGGACGATCTACAGAAAACAAAGTGTGACTAAATGATTGTTACAAGCATGAAGATCCATTGATATTTCCGGTTTAAAATATTTCTTGTGAGGGTGGAGACTTACTAAGTGGTTCATATATACAAAAAATCAGACACATAGAGATTTTAGAAAGATGAGGTCAACCAATTTAAAAAGTCTGAATTGGAAAAAATATGAATTCCATTTTGTGACTTTCAAAAAATTTGGCTTTTAAGGCACAGAAATATTTGCTTTCCAGGACGACGCCGACAATAGTAGCTCTAAGAAATCATGTAACATTGTTAAAAATTATTTTACTTTGTGGAATATAATTTAATTTTTTCAGCACGGATTAATCCCAATATAAACTTATTTAGGTAGTTCCAATCAAAGAGTTCAAAAAGTTGAGAAGTAAATTGTAAAGCAGGGTTGAAACATGCAAAAAGATTTATAAAATACCACAAGGAGGATTTATGTTAGATATATGTGGCCTGAAAATCGTTTAATATTAATAGAACACAAATTAGACTACTTCTTTAAAATTTCGGTAAATTCGAATTTAGCAGTCGGATTTTTCTTGTGTTAATGTTAAATGATTTTCGGGACACACATACCTGTCTACTACCTCACATTTCTTAAATCCCTCTATGTAATCTACATGCCAGAATAAATATTTAGTGAATATAGGCCTCTGCCCTCAGGTTCAAGGTTTACAAGAATAATACAAATCTGAGTAATTCAAACTTACTATTTCGTGTATTTCATATTTTCAGCCACCAAAATTGCCCAATTTTTTGGTTAAAATACTAGAAGAGTAATTATTAGGATAAGTAAGTCAGCCTTTATTTTCTCTCTATATGGGTTGAAAAAAGATCCAGTCACCTTCATTGTAAAAATAGAAGGAAAGAGTTAAGGAACCATATCATTTCACCGCTTGTATAATCACGCTTACTCATTTTACAACACTCTCTGTTCTCACTGCACTGTCGCACGAAAGCACAACAAAAAAAACTAAAAACATTGACAAATGTGTTATTAAACAAAACGTATCAACAGGATGCCGTGATAAACGAGCTTAAAACTAAAACGAGACTGGTTCAGGAAAAGAAACTGCTTCAACAAGATGAAGTGTATAATGGTGCCCTGGAGGACATACTCCTAGGGCTCAAAAGTGAGCCCTACAGGAGAGCAGATGCCGTACGCAGAAGTCAACGGAGGAAAATTGATAACAATAGGTTGTCAAAGACTTTAGAGGAATTGGAGGTCTAAAACTAAGTCTTGTATTATAATTGAAATGTATATAGTCATTCAGATCAGAAGGAGTTGAAAGGTTGGGTTGAAAAATAATAGTTTTCCAGAACCACCCAGTGACTAGGTCATTACACAGCAGAAAGGCAATACTTTATATGGATATCTCACAAAACTAAACTGATTAAGTGGCCATTATTATTTGTTTGTTTGATTCATTATAGAGAGCCACTTAATTAAGTGGTAATTTTCTGATGTATCCAGACCTTCGAGTGTAAGCCGAATTTGCCAAAAACCAGTTTTGCTTTATTGTGTGCACATGATATTTCTACACAACCAGAACAGTTTTATAGACACTTGGCTCGCGTTCCCATTTTTGTTTCTGGGTTGGCTAAACTAGTTTGTGAAAATTGTTTTGGTTGGTGCTCCAACTCATAAACCACAGTGTCATTGTTCCAGTTTTTCTTTTGTAAAATTATTACTGTATGAATATACTTCGGAACTACATCAATAAAAGTGTGCCTTAAAATTTTGATTCTGGGCAAATAATATACACTGCGTACCCGAGCTATATGTAATGAAACAACGGCGAGATACTGGATACTTCTGTGCCAGTAATATCATTCCTATTAAGACTGTTTGAAAACAGTGAAGCTTTTATTTTTTATATGCTTATTGGAAAAAAACTTTTAAAATAATTCATTGATATATTTACTGATGTGTGCAAACTCTGTCTGTCTATTAATAATAATGACAAAAGTCTGATTTATATGAAGTGACAATTTTAAAAGATGGAGAATTGCAATAATTGACTGAATTTTTTATAATGCTTTTTACAAAAAATACCTTTAAACCAAAAAATGCTTTACCTGCCTTGTTTGCATCTAGCTTTAAGTTCTTTGAAATGTAATATTTGTTTTTGTTGCTTTTGAAAATAATATTTTTTTAACATACCATCCAAGGGTATTTGAATAGACATTTTTTATTTTCTTAATCATAATACTCGTTTTCTGATTTGTATAACTTAGAATTGTGATGTAAAAGATTTTTAAATACATTTTATGTAAATATATATCAAACCATACTGTAAATATTTTGTGCATAAAGTAAAAATTGTATAATACCAAAATATAGTTTTTTATATTTGTTTACATTTGCCATTTACCATTACCATTTATTTTGGATTGAATATTATCCATAAGCTAAACAAAATGCTTACTCAAAAAAATGTTTTAAAAATTATTTGTTTGTTGTTATTAAAATCCATAATTAATACAAATGTTAATTTTTTTCGGTTTCTCTTCATTTTCTATCAATCTCAGTGTGTGTCTACCTGACCATGATCTAAAGAAAAATTTTTGTCATATTGACCAAACATACAGTATGTTTTAGTTAAGAGTTAACATATGTTATCCAGTACATAAACCAAAACCACTTAGTTTTTGAAATATTTAACAAATTTCACATTTTGTGACATTTAGTATGTATATTGCACATTAGTTATATTTTGGACAGGACAGTTTCCCGCAGCCAACATAAACAAACTTTTTTGCACACCTACAAAACAAACTTGTGAAATGAAAGTAATTGCAGAATTCGCATATCAAAATGAATTCCTTTACTTTCAGGTAGCCAAACTCTTAAAAACTTTGACGATAAAACATATAGTGTTGATGTACAGAGAAAATGCAGTGTTAAGAATACAGCGGTAAAGTGAAACAACAAAAAAAGTAAGTACAGAGTGTTTATTTCGTGGTAGTTTCTTCCAAAGTGGAAATTCAAGGTAAGCATATTATTTTGCTTTACAAAATCTATGGTTGGTTACTGAAATTATTGGACATATTATATACAGTATGACCCATTTTAATTAGAAACACATTGGAATCAACATCAATAAAAAAATGTAGTCCATTTGGAATTATTCACTGTATACAGATAACAAAAAAAAAAATATGACACCCTAGGTTAAACCTCCAATGTAATAAAGATATGATAGTGACGACGAATGATATGCTGTTGACATGTTTGTCAAAGATTTTTGCTGAAGCACCGGACATATGTCAGTTTAATAGATATGTAATTACATCTTTCATGATCACTTTTTGCTAAGACGAAAAATAAATCAAAATTACATTGACACATTACTTTACATCCAATTAAGCCAACATACTTATTAATATATACCAAAATGCATTTCGCTCCATGTATGAAAAAGGGTCACTAGATACGCATTGACAGAAAGAAGTGTTTTTTTTGTAGATTGTTCCAAAGTGCAGAGGAGTCAGTACGTGAATTAATGGTCTTTGAATTAACATTATTTTTTGATTTACTAATTTTCGTTACAAATGGTAATATAGGTAAGTGGTTGGTTATTTTATTTTATTTTGTAATTAGACTAGGTATTTACAAAATAATTGTAGCGCAGTTGTTGCATTTGCTAGTATAGAAAATCTGTAATCTCTAAAACTATAAAAAGGGCATTATTACCAAGTGGCGTCGGGCAAATTAAGATATAAAGAAGTCGATCAAAAATGGGTATACTATATTCAGAAAAAAGTCGTGGTCCAAAGGTTCATATCTAAAAACGAAGGTTATTAAACAAATTTTGGTTCGGAATACAGTAAGAATAGTAAAAAGCACCGGAACGCATAAATTTCTCCAAAACTACCAAAGCTGCAACTTTAAAATTCATGCACGGTTTTGAGCAGGCATGTTGTCAGATTTTCAATTTTTTCGTCGAACGTCATAATTTTGTTATTTTAAATTTAATGCCCTATTTATTTTTGTTGCAATGAATTGTGCATTTTGTAAGGTCAAAAGTTCAAAATGTTGTTTCCATTAATTACTGAGCTTCGTCAACACTGCTTTTTCAATAAAAAGTACCGAAAGGCTTAAATGTATTTGCTGGAACGATAAAATCCAATACCCCCATGTGCCAAATTCAAAAATCCAATGTTGTCAGATTTCGCAATGATATTATTAATTCTGGTAACCTTTTACTGAAACAATTCTAAATTCATTGCAACAAAAATAAATAGGGCATACCATTTAAAATAATCTGATGACGTGTAACATGAAAGTGGTAAATCGGACAACACTGCTGTTAGCATTTTTGAATTCAGGATGTTCAAAATCCCACACGTATTGAATTTTATCGCTCCCGCATTGACAGTTTTGTAAATATTTAAGCGTTCCGATACTTTTACTAACTCTGTATATACCAAAACAAGTATTTACGTCTCGACATAAAAAACTATCAACCTAAAAGAAAGGTTAGTAAGTTATAAAATGATGTAAACGCGATGGACCTGGAGAAATAAGAGCAGAAAAAAGTAAACTGTTGGAAATAAAAAAAAGATGGAATCTACTAAGAAAGTAATAGCAGAAACATAATACCTGCAAGCCTTAGTACACCATATCAAAGACAGACCAAGATGTATACATCACCTACTGGCTCTGCTCTGCATGGTGACCACCCTATCCTGATGTTACCGCCTATTACCAGCTCCATTGCCGCTGTACCTGCTTCTATATTGTTTGAGGGGGGCGGAGCATATTGGTGAAAGGTAAAGGCCTGAGTCGCGGTTAAGATTGTTAGAGGTTGCTTATAGATTTCTAGGTTTCGAAGCTACGCTGCGATAGAAAATCTGATTTCTAGTAAGACGCCTTAACCGACAGGCCAAGACTAAATCTGGATGTCGAATTATTATTATAAACAACTTTGACAAATAGAGAAGACAGCAATAAATACAAATAAATATCATGCTATTAAAAATTACAGCACATATTTTTCTTTAATTTCTTATTGCGTTTATAAGTAACAATTCTTTTCAATAAAGGCCTTATGAAATAATTCATGTATTTATTCATTTATATTTTTACATTGTGTTCGCTCTTTAATGTGCAACTATATCTTCTGTGAACTTCAAAACGAGTTAGTAAAACACTATATAAAATGCTATTATAATTGAAGGTAAGTCTTAGCTATGGCATAAACAACAATGTCTACAAAACCAGTGTGGAATGTGGATCTGGAAAAAATATTTCTTAATTGACCATCTTCCTTTTAGTATATTGCATGTGAGCTTACATTTTTAAAACATCCAATATAAGTAAATTATTGTTTGAATTGATACTAATATCTAAATTTTTTGTGGTAGCCACCATGCAATTTTTGCGAGCAAAATGTATTTTAAATTTTGAGTCAATAAACTACACTTTTTAGCGTTTGTTAGTGTTAAATGGATAAACTTGCAAAAATGTTTTTACCGCGTATGTATGTATAACTTGTGGGTGTATAGGAAGATCCATTATGCCAATACTAGAAACGAGAGAAATGAAAATGTTTGTTTGAAGTGCTTAATAAAATGCAATATATACTAATTATATTAATTCTCTAAAACTAATTTCTGTGCAATTCTCTTACATTTAGAAATAATTGTTTATTGACTTGTTTTATGATTAATTTTCTTAGTTTCATTTGACAATACACTTGCGATGAAAGAACGAGCGTTCTGTCTATAGGAGGAGGTGCTCCTTGAATATTTTTTCTACTTAGATGTTTCATGTGCCATATCTAGTACCTAAAAGCTATATTTACACTTTTAAGAGTTACATTTCGTGAATTCGAATTTATTTATTGAACTGAGGTGGCTTTTACTTGATGAAAATCCATTTATCAAAATAAATAAGAACTAAAAGTTCAGATTTTCACGAAATTATTTATTATGACATGACAATTGTTTCGACAACACCGTGTCTTTATCAAATGCACATTTTTTTTTTAAAAAGGAAAATATCGAGTGACTCTCTTGAAAGTTACGCGGTTATGGTGGCGTCACAGTGGCTGACTTGCATCCGCTAATTTAAAACTGAATTCGGAAAAAAAGCTAGGATCAAATTTCTTTGATACAATGATGAAAGGACTTGTTGAAGGTTCTCGAGTTTATTCTATGACCCATTTCATACTTTAATTTGAAGGCGCATGTGTAAACTATTTGACAGCGTTGTCAACTTTCGCAAAAAATCGTAGGTACGTTTTAGCAGACAAGAATAAAATTTAAAACATTAAATATTTGGTTTACATATTATACCTAAAAATTGTGAGTGCTAAAGCAATAAGTACATTCTACTACTGATTTTGAGTGTGTAAAAGAAGATTGCACACCTGCGTACACAATTGGAGATGAAAAGTTTATGTGAGTAGTTCAACTAACCAAAACAGCCTAGAATTTGTACAATAAAACACTATAAATTGAAAAACTGATAAACCACATAATTTAGAAATACCTTGTATTGTTAAAAAAACTGACAACGTCGCCAACCTGCACAATCGTAATAAACATGGCGACGTGTTGTTAGGATCATTAAAACACGAAAAATAAATCTGAAATTATTTAATGACCCATGCACAATCAATTAAAATGATTATAAAATTACTGCTCTGTAAAGAACTGTAAATGCAGGATATTAAATATTTCCCTTAAATATCAAGAAATAAAAGTTAAAAGCAAAGGAAAATCAGTCAAAGAACGTAAAAGTTTAAAGTGAGATGTGTAGTGTGGTAGTGATAAAACATCTTCATATCTTTTGACAAGGTAAGAAGTTTAACAAATGTTACCTAGAATTTTCGTTCATTTTGATGCACGTATTTTAACTCGGAAACTTATTTCGCTGACCCACCCATTAACACCATATCTGAAGCAGCCATTTTTCCCCAAGGTCGTAAATGTCATCTTAATATTGAAAATTCAAATTCCAGTGTTTGGTGAATAATTTTTAGCTTTAGAATCAAATGATTCTTATATATTCCTACTTTCAACCCAACAAACTAACGTGGAACTGCTGGTGTGGCCTCTTTTTTTGCATGTCAATGTCCATAAACATAACCAAAAACTATTTAACTTTTTGAGTATGTGGCTTTTCCCTAGGAAATCGCTGCCTTCAGGCAACCAAACGGCATATACTATGTGCTGGATTTTTATAAGTGCATCGTAAAATGGAAAAAAAACCGTCATGGGAAGAAAGATAAATCAAAAAAGTCCAAAAAACGTAAAAGCAGAGATGATAGCGAGTTCCAAACTAACCCCATAGCGGTCAAGCCTCTCGTTGAGTACTCTGATGTAAGTTCAGAAGATTTATCGGAACCCGAGGCTGGTGAAATACAGAGTGGCGAGGAAGGAAGTTTACGTAGTGGTGTCAGTGAAGACGGTGAAGTTGGTGATTATTGTGATTATCCAGAACTAGATCTTGATCCTGAATATAACATGCATCGAAGCAGTCACCATAGTCGGTATCATTTAGAGCAGGAGATCTACATGTCTAGATCATCCATGATAATAGCATCTCCAGGTTAGTACCCAGATATTACTCACATGTTTTGTATTTTTGAAATTTACAAATTTGGTTTGGGTTAGTAACTCTTGGCAAACACGTTGGTTGCAAAATTTTGTATTTAGTAAAGCAAAAAATGGGAACATTGTTATCATTTTTGCCTATTTTGGTATCATACACCTAAATTTCACTGGAAACTTTTGTGTTGCCAGACATAAAATATAATTATTTTTCCAACATAACAGTCTTATCTATAATTATAATTACTCAAATTCGCATATTCTACACATGGCTATTTTATATGTTGATCATTATTATATTGTAATTTGTATTTTACTAATCTAGCTTAATATTGGAAAATCAAAAAATTTAACAGAGCTCCTGTAATAACAAAACTATATGTGTATTAATAGTAGTTTATTTTTTTTATTGCTTAGGTTTTGACTGTTTTTTATAGGTCTAATATGTTTTAAATAAAATTACAATTTTAGCGATATTTACTTGTTTGTATTTTTCATTTTCTTTAATGACCAAACTTTTGTTTCTCCTCAATTTCTTGTTAGTATCATAAAATGCTATCAGAAAACTTTAATTGATATACCCATTATTTATCAGTACCTATTGATTTTGACTAATTAATCAAAAGAAGTAGTTTCTGCATTCCCTTAGCTGATAACCGAGCTTATGACATAATCCTTCCATAGGCAATTGTGACCGCTGGGAACTCCTTATATTAATTCCATCTCCAGGAACAATTGGGGATAGGATCATTTTTGAAATAACACTCTTTGTTGAGGTACCTAATTGTAATTAAAATCGCCGAAGCAATGAGTTAAAAAACCGTCAAGGGCAATGGTTTTTGAGAAAATTATATTTTACATTCATGCTTTTGGGAATTGAGTGGCTGTTCTCTTCTTCAGCTTATCCTAACATTTTCTGTCCTCAAGTTGGGTTCGAAATAATAATAGAATAAAAGCAGTTTAGATTAATATTTTCATTTTACCATCGTAATAATTTTGACATTTTATACCACATATAAAATTTTAGAAGCAAAACTTATTTTTAGGAAACTGCTGTATATCAAAAATTCTTACTTATTGAGAAAATAAGTATTTTTCAAACTTCTGGAAAATTCCGATATTTGTATCGCCTGTTCAAGATTTTTAAAAACCTATTGCATATAGAGTAAGGAATGTTGAACTGCATTGCATAAAAAATATCTTGTGTAAAAAAATTGACCAATCAAATGAGGTGATATTCGTTTTTTGGTATTTCAAAATTCCGGTAGTTTAATTTTCAAAAAAGTAAAAGTTGAAATATCTAAAACTATCCAAATATCTGAAATTTTAGTTACTTATAGGTAGAGTTAGAAAATTTGATACCCTGATTCAGTTGTGGTTTTGAAAATTATTTAAAGTTACAGTCAAAGTTGTTGTGTTTCTTATATTGAAATAATTACACACCTAAATCCAAATAAATATTACCGAAATGGAACAACAATTATATACTGAACTCTTGATGCAAAAACAGTATGCATTACACTTTTAGCAAACAGATAGCCTTGTCCAGAAATTGGTTTTAGTAATAATAATAAAAATAAAAGTCTTTATTTCCAATAATCAACAAGTCAATAACAAACAAAAACAAATCAATTTAGAAAAAGGCGAGGTTCAGTGCAGTGATGTATCACTGACTGAGTTTTTAATGTTCTATACCCAAATCAAATTTTATGTTTCATGTGAGGTGTTAATTAATGTAACAATAGTAGTGGTTTTTAAGTTTTTTCTCAAGTAGAGAAAAAACTTAAAAACAAGTTGTTTTATAGGTTTTCCCCCGCGGCCGACATATCGACTCTTTTATCACTCTCCTTTAAGTTCAGCTCTCTCATATAAAGTATATTATTTTGTGGGGAGATATATCTTTCCTGCTTTCACATTCTAAGATCCTAATTTTGATTAGATGCAGTGCTCTACTGTTTCTTCATCATCCAGGCCGTCGTCGAGAAAGTCCATCTTGTGCTTGTTGTTTCAGGGTTTGTTATATGAAATTTGTAAATTAAGTAATGAGACTGGCAATGTAGCGTTCTATCTGGCAACGTTGAGGGCGCTGGGCCTTGAGGGGTGAAAAGTGAACATGTGATCTGGTTTTAGTTTGTAGTATTGGATGATGGGTTTGCGATTTGTTTTGTGAAAAAGTGTTCAGAAGAATTTGCGCAAAAATGGTTTTAAAATACCTCTTATAAGACTAAAAAGAAATCACGACTTGAGATCTTGACTTCTTGGATTGGAATGAAAATGATTCTCATTTTGTGGAACATGGTAATGAGTCCTAGGCGTTTGGGTACCTACGGTCCTGAAACCAAGCGCCAAAACATACAGCCTTTCCAAGCTTCAAAAAAGTAATGATAAGGAAGATATCCAAAGAAATGTTTACAAAAAGTTTCTACCTTAAAGGCCTAATGGCCATTCTACCCAGAGGTTCTTGAAAAACTGCAAAAAAAGGTCATTTGTGTGAGATAAAACATCAAGAACAAGGCGTTGACTTTTTGGTCAGAAAAAACATTATTATCCCTAACTTGGAGTCCGTGTGGCATTTTTTTGGTCACCAAATTGCAAAAGCATTGAAGTGGTTGTAACGAACCAGCTGAAAGCTACTCCAGTATTGGAGTTCCATTACTGTTATGGGGAGTGAAAGGAACCGTCTCCAACGCTGTGGGGCTTCAGAAGAAAGTTATTGGGGGGGTGGGGGGTGACAATATAAATTTTATTGGAATAACAAAATTGAATAAATCAATCTCATTACTTAATTTACACACCTCGTATATCTGTCTCTACCATGGTTTGCAGGTTTAACCTGCTCATGCTCATGTCTAACAGGCTGTTGGTTATGCCTTTTTCCGTTTTCTTCTTGGCACATGGGTTAGCCTAGGTAATAGTAGCCAGCATAAGAAGCTTTCTGTGCTCTTCAGTTATCAATTGCGTTTTGTCGCGGATTGGCGAGAAGTTGCCAATAACTGCTCTGATCCTATTGATGACGAAATAGATGTTAGACTAACAATGCATATGGAGCTGCTACTTGTTCACTGGGCCATTTACAAATAAATCAAATGGCAAAGATTCGTAAAACACCTTGCTTCTGTGGGTGGTCAAGGTATTTGTTTATTGCCACATATTCAGACCATTTTTCCATTGCATTATATAGGTAGGGTAAAATTCGGATTTCGGACCGTTCCGGACAGCATTCAGAGTCTGTTAATAACTTTTCGCGTAATATAATAATATAAACAGCCAGAAACAGCCACAATTTTGCTGCCTGGTTCTGCATACACAAAAGAAATCTGAATCCAAAATCCAGAAGCAGTAAATTTTTAACATTGAAAAAGAAGATTGTCTTTCTTGTTATTTGTATTCTATTGATTTATTTTTCTCCCCATTCTATATATTATTTTCATATTTTCCCTTCTTTTAAATTGAAGTGAATATAAAAAAAAAATTCTAACCCAATAGGTATCTCTACCGTAAGTATTTTTGGTTGCATGTTATAAGTATGTTTTTTAAATCCCAAGGAGTTATGCCACAACCAATTGTATATATCACTACCTAAAATAGTCATTTTTGTAGGATGTGCTCTAAAACATACTTATACATATTTGTGAATTCAAAATCTATTCATTTATATTGATATTTTTTCATTTCCAAAATTATTACAAATGCAGAGTGAATATTTTTTCGTTTCAGTTAATTCTAAAACATTTCGTATCCTGTTTCTATATAAACATTTATTTTTTAAGGTAGAAGACGTCCCTTAGGGCAAGTAGTGATTACATCACCCACTTCACCTGTTCTTCTAAGAGAGAGGCATCATTCGGTTTCTTCACGTTCATCAAAATCGAGTGAGGCTAGGAGACGAATTGTAGAAGGCTCCCCAACTGAATTTCATCAGCCTGCAATTTCTCCGTATCCAGAAGAAATTCCCCTACTTGAAAAAAAGAAACGAAAGAGAAAGGACAAAAAACACAGAAAGGATAAAAAATCAAAAAAGAAAAGGAAGAAAAGTAAGCACAGATCTCAAACCACTAGTCCTGAAAGTGAAGAGAGTGATTCGGCCGAATCAAAGGCTAGTTCTATAAAAACTCCTCCTAGGAATCATGGAGAACGAGTTTCAAAGTCCCTTTCTGAATGGGAGCTCCAAGAAAGAAATCCTTCCAAAATAACCGACCATAAAATCGATACAAGCGCATGTTCGCCTGTTTCTAATGACAGTATCGCGTCTCCTGACCCGATATCGCCGACAGTTCCCTCGGCCACACCCCCGCTTAAAACTCTTAAGGATTATCAATACGATTACCCTAGAGAATCACCGCATACACCTCCTGTACACCATTACCACACCAGCAGGTCGAACCATCACATTGAACCGGTTAGGATAAGGGAAATCGGTTCGCCCATAGTAATCGACGATTATAGCAGACCATCTCCAATTAAGTCTCCTTACAGAAACCCGAGTCCTGAAAATATGCACCATCACAAACATAGTAGGTCAATATCACCAAGTAAACGTCGACGGGGTGAAGGACACAGGAAACACCGAAGAGAACGTGAAAAAGCTAAAGAAAAAAAAAGACTAGCACAGAGCAAGAGTCGTAGCCCCTTGACTAGGAGATCACCCAGCTATAGTAGAAGTAGACATTATAGTCCTTCACCATCAAGGAGAAGCAAGAGGCATAAAACAAGGAGTCCCAGGAGAGAAAGAGATAAAAGTCCAAGGTACGGACATTTTTAATAATTTTATTTTATGATTATAGTAAGATTAATTTAAAACAATTAACTAACCAAATTAAGCTAGTATCAGCAAAGCAACATAATGTGGCGTTAAGCTTTAGATGTCTACCTCGCTTTAAATAACAGAAATATTATTTCAAAATTAACCTCTAATCCACTGAAACAAAATCCAAAGTTTTTTTTTCTTCAGATGCATTATTGGCGCCAGATATGTATTAAGAACTAAGTATGGCTAACAACCTGAAGAACACCACACTTAACATCCCTAGAATAGCTATATATACTGGATAACGTAATAAGTTTGTTTAATTTAAGATGGTACTTTTTTTATTTTTGTTTTTCTACAATTTACAGTTAGCTGTAATTTAATACAAAAACTAATATTCAGGAAATACCACCGAAAAAAAAAGATTATTCGTAATATGTAAATATCAAAGTCATATAAATATCATCAATTTTTAAATCTTTTTTCTTTATAATAACCGATGTTTATCAATGCGTTAGAAGCAATATTAGGTTTCAGACTACATTATAAAGTCTGCCCAGCCTTCAGGTGCAGTAAAGTCATTCACGGTGTTTCTGTTCACATACTTAACAAATATACTTGTGTTTTATCTCTGATGATTCGATAACAATTAAGAATGCTACAGAGGTAAACAAGCAACCAGAAGCAATGAATCAACCATGCCCTATATCAATATCCTATATATTTTTTATCGTCTTTTCATGGAAACAATGGCTATTTTGTTTTTTATTTCTTACGGTCAGTTTGTGCCAAGTCTGCGAAATATCTACCTTAAATTCCACAGGAGTATTAATACACGTACACGTATGGTATATTTGATATAACAGAAGTATTATACAGGTAGTCAAAATTTTATTTTCTCGAATAAGAATTTTTTGGTTTTTATAACAACTTTTTCATCTCCTTTTTTTTGTACTGGAATAATATTTGCAGGCTGGGCCTATTATTATTACGAATACACAAAATAAAATGGACCCTGAATGGGGAAAATTGAACCTTATCAACAACCTTAACCTAAAAATTTAAACCTAAAATAAAGGAAATATTTACTAAACTACCTTATAGCAAAGGATAAAAGTAATTAAGTGATGGAAACATTATTGCTTTAGGCTTTTGAGTATTCTTGGTTTTTACAAACCTAAGAAGATGGTGTCATCTTCTAGATCTTAAAGAGTGGCAACGAAAAGACTACTTTTGCTTTCTCTTAACTTGTCAAATAATTTTAAAATATATTAAAATGAAATGATAATTTTGTGGTTTTTCCCCTATATTTGATCTATGTTTTCTTTGTCACACTGAATACATATTATTACTAATATAATATCATGTAACTGTTAAGGATCTCTTGTAATAAAAGTATTTATATTTGTTCTAGGCACAGACACAGGAGTCCCTTGCCCCATTCAATTAGGTCTTCGCAATTAGCTAATAAAATTACCGACACTAGTTTATTTGCCGAATTAGTCAAAGATAAGCATAAACGGGAGATGGAACTGCGAAAACTCGAACAAAACTTAAAGTCTGAAGCAACAATAGATCAGGACAAAATTGTCATATCTGACGAGCCTGATAGCGCAGACAGTAAACGAAGTGCGGAATGTAACTCCGACGTTGTTGTGGTGCCTATGGATATTGATGATATACCCATTCCTGACATGGAACCTATAAAACTCAATGTGAATGAAGCTCCAAAAAACAATGTCTACGCCAGTACAGATAACTCAAGCACGCTTCCATTGCAACCGCCATTGCCAACTAGCGAACCGAAATCGTTAGGTAACAATATTGAAATTACCCTGGTCAAAATGAATAGTGTGGAAAAACCGAAACCAAAGAGCATTACAAAGTTGCCTATGCCACCTGGAATGGATCAGTCTGAGTTGGAGGAGATAGAATCTCCCCCTAGTCGTTCACCAACACCACCTCCGAAACTTAAAGCAAAAACTCCTCCTCCAAATATGAGGAAGAATGTAAAGGATTTGCCCATGCCACCAGGTAAACTTTTTTTTTAACTTTTGCAGACTCTTAATTCTGGTTTTAACAAAACAATTAATAGTAATTTCAATTAAATAGTTCAATTCTATTTGGAACTTCGCTAAGAAGTAAAAGGTGTTTTGCAGCTTTTAAAGACAAGGAATAGAAAAGTAAGCTATGTATAAATCAAAATTTTGAGTATTGTTTGAATAAGTTTCTTGACTGACCTAACCTTTGTACAAATAGAGTTTGTGGAAGCTGGCGAAAATAACTATATAATAAGTACGAAATTTCAAATATGTTTAAAAACTTGCAAAACTCATTTAAAAATTGATTTATCACATTTTGCCTCAAATTGCACTTTCGCGCGTTTCATGTTAATAATAATTAATAATAATTATAGTTTTTTACAAAGTTAACTCGATTCTTTCCTTTGTGAAAAATTTTTTTATAAATAATTGTTGATTAATTTGTAAACAATGTTGTTGTATACATTATTTTATTAATATATTTCATTATTTTTATGGTCGCATTTAATGCTATTTTTCTATTGAACACATTTTATTTGTTACATCATATTTATTGCAAAATCAATCCAATCAATAGTAATACCTGGTACGGAAGAATTAAGTGGTGATGAAGAAGATTTGGCCAGCACCCCACCCAGGAATAATCTGAAAATAGTCGAAAGACCCAAACCTGTGATCAAACCAAAGTTGAAACGACCAAGAATCCTGAAACGAAGGGGCTCCCGAAGTTTTCAGACTTGTGGCAAGGATTGGGGGGAGCGGTGCGTTGATATGTTTGAAGTTATTGCCCAAACTGGGGAAGGTAGGTTAATTTCCAATCAGATTTGTGGTTATTTAGACTGTTCTTAATAGGTACTTATGGGCAAGTATACAAAGCAAAGGATATCCAAGCTAATGAACTTGTCGCCTTGAAAAAGGTTAGATTAGAAAACGAAAAGGAGGGTTTTCCAATAACCGCGGTTAGGGAAATAAAGATTTTGAGGCAACTTAACCACAAAAACATTGTGAATCTTAGAGAGATTGTTACCGATAAGCAGGATGCGGTTGATTTCAGAAAGGTGCATTCTAAAATTTTTGGTTGTGCATTCATTTTCATTTACCTGACGCTAATTTTAGGAGAAAGGTTCATTTTATTTGGTTTTTGAGTATATGGACCACGATCTAATGGGCCTGTTGGAATCTGGTATGGTGGACTTCAATGAACTAAACAATGCATGTATCATGAAACAGTTGTTGGATGGACTCAACTACTGCCACAAGAAAAATTTCCTACACAGAGATATAAAGTGCAGCAATATCTTGATGAACAATAAGTAAGAAAAGTTTTTTATTTTGTTGGTCACTCAGTGTTTCAGTAAGTGTCGGTATCTGCCTCTGTAATTGTGCCTGTTGGCCAGAATTTGCAAAGTGCATCTTAGGATCCAACTATAAATGTTTTGATGTATATTTAGTTCTAAAACTAACTAAACTGTTGTGCATCCTTAGTGTTTGAATTTATTGTTCGTTTTGCTAATTATTAACTGATGGTTAAAACAGGGGTGAGGTAAAGCTGGCCGATTTTGGACTAGCTCGCTTGTACAATGCTGAAGATCGCCAAAGGCCTTACACAAACAAAGTAATCACATTGTGGTACCGACCACCGGAGCTGCTTTTAGGCGAGGAACGTTATGGCCCAGCAATTGATATATGGAGTTGCGGCTGCATACTCGGCGAATTATTCCTCAAAAAACCCCTCTTTCAGGTAGGGTGTAATTAGAAAACGTTTGTTGTTGAAATATATTAACATTGATTTTTTATATCAGGCGAATGCTGAAATGATGCAACTAGATCGGATATCTAGAGTATGCGGCACTCCTACTCCAGCAGTATGGCCGTCTGTGATAAAACTTCCCCTGTTTCATACTTTGAAACCCAACAAGCTCCACAGGCGAAGGCTCAGGGAAGATTTCGCTTTTATGCCCACATCAGCATTGGATCTGTTAGATAGAATGCTAGAACTAGATCCCGACAAAAGAATAACGGCTGAGGATGCTTTAAAGTCACCATGGCTTAAGAATATTAATCCTGAACAGTAAGTTGATTTTACAAATCATTATACAATAGTCTTAATATTGGTTTGAATTATAGTACCGGAGTCAAATCTTTTGTAGTCAAGTTTTGTTTATAGCATTGGAAACAAATGGTACCCGATAAAATCATTTGTTGTAGTGTCGACTCTCATTTCACATCATATAGATAGCTATTTGATGATGTAGTAGACACCTGGACGATCAAAATTGAGGCGCCTCTGGCAGTTATGATCTTGTTTTGTGGAGAACAAGCTGTTCCTTTCTAATAGGCGAACTCCACACACTTAATAGTTTTTCCTGAACTTTTAATGAACTGTCTGTTGTTGAAAGCTTTTATATTTCATTGAAAACGAGATTTAAAATGCGCTTGAGCGTATTGAATGGCCTTTCTCGACATTTTTTGATTCTCAAAAATCTTTGAACATGCTATGTGCAAAAGATTAACAAATTAATTTTTTAAAAAATTGCTCATTTGCATAGCCATTATTTTCACTCTATATAATGGAGTGAAAATGTATTACCAATATTGTTAATGGAAATGCGAATCTTTTCAGCTGCTTTGCATTTTTTTGCTGTTTGTTTTACTTTAGACATATTTCTGAATATCCTACGTTCTGCTATTTACAAATCTTCTTCATTTCTCATGCTTCAATTGTTTATAAATCAAACTTGCTGATGATTGGGGAAGGGTCAACAAGTTTGATTTATAAACAATGGATACAGGAGAAATCCAGAAGATTTGTAAATAATATTACAGTAGTCTGTGGAAATTTCTTTAAAAAATTATCCTATGTTCTGGTCTGACACATAAAATTGCCACATAACTCAATCTCTCGGGCAAATAAAAAATTATGTTTTTTAATTTGCGTGTTCAAAACACATAATATTTATTTTAGAATAAGGGTAATCATATTTTCATAAAATTGCTAGAGAATTTAGTTTTTGTATATAAGTTATTATATTTTTGTTGTGTAGACTAACAGCACCAGAACTTCCAACCTGGCAAGACTGCCACGAACTGTGGAGCAAAAAACGCAAACGTCAAATAAGGGAACAGCAAGAGGCAATGCAGAATCTGCCGCCGGGTAAGCCAGCGACAATGCCTCGCGAGAAAGGGAAACCTGAGGATGAGGTTGGCGGGTGAGTGACCTACTGGGCGTTAAATGTTATAAGGTTTATTCAAATTTTTGGCTCTTGTGAGTTGAGTTCTATTTTTCTGGTCCGTACAATAAAGGATAATTATTGTTCAAATTGTATAATCTTTTTTAAGGTTGAGTATATTGTGTAAATACTGGCATCCTTAAAACCATATACAATTTCTATATTTTTCTGGGCTCATAAACATTTTTATTAGCTTTGGTATAAAGTTAAATTCTCATTGAATAAAAACTAGATGTTCGTTTTGTACATTAAGCTTTTACAATATTTTGTTTAATTAATTTGTTAAACAGTTCAAATATTAAAAAACTCATTTAAGGTATAATTTGATGGCTAATTTATTATATTTTATTTTTGCAGTTTTATCACCCTGTAATTGATAAAGTTGGTTTCTGGATTTTATTTACTTTTTCTTTTCTTTATGTTTTTTACAATAATGGTGCTAAAATTTCATGTGTAACTACTTTTAGGTATTTAATGGTGTAGCTCCTATCTTCTTTTTTTTTGTGAATTTGAATCAATGAATATTTGATGGTGTGCTATTTTAGCTGCTTCTGATAAACGGGAGTCCTATATTTTTTCTAATTGTTTAAAGAAATTATTTTGTCTTATAAGTTTATTTTAAGTGACAATTTTTTTGAAGTTCTACATATATTTCGTTGTGCAGTTAAAATGGTTACCCTGTTATGAACATTGTCACCCATATTGCAAAAATTGTAAACAGTTTTTCTCTTTACCCAGTTGTGTTTAAGTCAATTCAGGACAGCTGGTATAACATAACATTCTTAAAAGGTGTGGTTAGCATTTATATCTGTTTTGTTGTGACAAGAAAGTGGTCCATATTATCACAAAGCGAAAAATTGTCAATAATACCAATATTTTCTTAAAAACTAAAAGATAAATTTCGCCTTTTTTGCCTTTGCAAATTAAGTTCCTTAATTTTCAACATTTTTTCCGATGATTTTTCTATCTTTCGTTTTGTTTTTCTTCGTTAGTTTAATTTTCAGGCCTATAAGGTAATGCAATTATAACTGTATGCTGTAGAATTTATTTTCCTATTACTTTGTCATTTGATTTGGAATCGGTTCTGCTCTTCAATAGTTCATGTAAAATAAAACTACCATGTCGGAGTTTTTGTTTTATGGTATTCCAATACATTTGAAGATTTTGCCAGTTTTCAGCCTCATTTATTGTTGGTGATCTGTAATAATAACTTAGTTCTGGCCACACGGAACAGTTTGAATGAAATATACCCATTATTAATCTTCAGCTATTGCAAAACTTGCTTTTTTGCAGGTGGCTTTACAGTTCACCATGACAGGAGCTGAAGAAGATTATTATCAATTATATTTTAAGAACTAAAATATCGATATTCACCTATTATTGAGTCACGTTTTTTTTATTATTATATTAACTATTAGGTCCCATTAATTTTTTAATTGTCATGGATCTATATATTGTCTTTTTTAGTCCTCATCATGAAAACCGAGCCCTACATGCCGGTGTTTCTTAGTCTATATAAGGAGGACTCCCGTTGAATGCAGAACTGTTAAGGTTGCGCCCTATGATAATCAAGCCTTTACACTTTTTTAAGAAAAAGGAAAAAATATATGTATATGTTGTATCAAAATGAATGCTATTGTGGATCTAGTTAAATCGATTTATCTGTAAATATTTGTAAGTTATTTAGAATTAGTTAATAAAATTGTTTTATTTAACCCTGTATTGTCTTTTTTTCTTTTAAGAAATAAAAGGTATTTATTTATTTTTGTTTTTTCTTTTTATTTCTTATTGCTAATAGTATGCTCAAGTAATGCATGAATGGTAGTTGAGTGGATTGTCTGATGTAGATATGGCAGTGCAACTGCGTGACTTTGTTGAAAATAAGTCATTTTGAAGCATGCTTTTAAACATTGAAAGAATGATCAAGTAGATAGCATGTTCTAGGTAAATGTAGTTTGTCTAGATAATGACAAATATTTACAGGTAAATTTCTCGTTGTTTAACCACATTGTAAAATACTCATTTTTTGACACAAAAATCACCGATTTTTGTCTGCTGATACTTGATATATTGTATTTTGAATTAAAGGTTCTGCCCTCAGGAGAAACAAATTAGTCTCTTGTTTTTTTTCGCCATTGATTTAAAATTTACCTGTTTATTTTACTTATGGTACTCTCAGATACCTTAACATCTATAGGAGACAAGTCATTGATACAGCTAGCATAAAAAAAAAATTTTGAAAGATGACCAGTTGCTTCTTCACTCTTTTCAGATAGCTGGGTGTGAAATAATTTTAAACTTAAATGATTTTTCGAATTTGCTAGATATGCGTACATTTAAATTAGAAAGTTGGATTCCAATAATTAATAAGTAAAGGCCTATGTGCACATGTGTTTAAATCTATTTTTGGCTTCATGAAAATTAAAAAGTTGGCTGGTCTCCTTAGGATGTGTTATTTGCCATATGTAATGTCTGTAACAGTATATCCTACAAAGATCTAACTTTAAACTTTTCAAGAACTGTTTTCCTCCCATTCGTAGCTTGCCAGATTTCACAAAACTTCGAGTTTCCCCCAATTAGGTTAAATACCTCAGTATCTACATGACACTGATAAACTTATTAAAAAACTGAGATTCCCTCTCCCAATATTCAAGAATGCCATGGACTTTTCTGATATAAAACATTTAAAAATGTCGTATAGTACATTGGTTGAACCACATCTTACATAGAGTCTCTTGAGGTGGGGTGGTTTGACTAATATAACTACTACAGAAAAATTGAAATTACCCAAAAGTGGTTTCTTAAAGTTATATAGACCGTTGATTTATCCTACAGAAGACAATTATTTTTTGTTATTGCTAAATTACAAACGCAAGAACAGCTTACCTCTATTTGAGCAAGATTATTCGACACGATTTCAAAGGCAAAAACTGAGTAATAAGGCGAGAGAAGACTATAGGTCAGAGATGCTTTTGTTACTTAGTAACAAAAATTATTGCTGTGATAACTGGAGAGATTCTTAACTATAGACCCTACAGTGAATATAAAAATAAAATAAAAGAATGGGTTATTCATCGGCCGAGACTTTATATCCACCAACAAGTAGATTTAAAAAATAGTTATTTTATTATTACAGCTCATTAAATTTTTAACTAAGATTCATATAGTTTGTTCTGATTTTTGCAAGTCTGTTATACACCAAACACTTAAAACCAAAAATTTTTTATGTTTTTATTTTTTGATTTATGTATGTTGTTCAGCACACAAACAAATATTGTTTTGCAAATATTCTTGAGCTTTTTCGCTGCTTATTTACTATTGATGTATCTCTACTTATTTAATGTTCTTTTGAATGTGGTACTTGTGAATAAACTAAAATTCAAGTTCATTATTCGGAAATTTATATGAAATTTTTATTTAATGGTGAACCGGTATCACCATGTACGCGGATTCAAAGACATAATTTTTTACTTCATGAAAATTGATTGTGACCAAAACAAATTTTATTTAACTGCTTTACCTATCTAAATAAAGTCGCTTTTTATTTTCGATTTGCGCTTTTGTGGAATTTTTTAAAATGCCGGATTTAAAAAGTAATTCCAAAAACATGTCAAAAATCCCAAGCTGACAAAACTATTGTGTTCAACGCCGCCTATACTGAAAACAAAAAAGGTACACTGTTGTCATATAGTAAAAAAAATCCGCGTGTGTCTTAATTTGTTGCAGTTCAAATTTCGTCCCATCTTATAGCCCTGTTCTTTGTCACAACGTTGAACCGAGCAGGCTATAGTAGGAGGAGCGTTAAGATTGAGACAATTGCAGAGATATTTGGCAGTAGCGGAACATCTATTCCTTTAAAGTTTTGTTGTATTTTTGTCGCACTTAAGGTACCCCTCTATGAGTCAAAAGTTTTCGGTTAAAATATTAACCAACAAACTGAACGCAAAGAAAAAAAATTGAATATTATATTATGCAACAAGTTTGATAAACGATATTTTAGTCAAAGAGTTTCATTTGCACGAGAGAAGCGCAGCAGACAGAGTGCTTAATTAACGACCACAAGTTTTTCAGTACATTGTTGCAAAAAAGCTGACATACATTCACAGAATGACGTGTGACGTGACCATCAGAACTGACGAGCGTCAAAATATCATTGCCAAAATCTACTGAAAACAACCGGTCGCTCTCATAACTGTGACTAAGTTACTGGAAACGTCCGAAGAGGCTACCGACCGTGGAAAACGAAGTTGACTTTTAAAATGACACTTTACGTCGCTTGTTCCGTTCATAATTAGGTATTTCAGATAGACGATTGCTTTCATCGTCATTGCAACAAATAAGTGTTTGTGAATTCATCTAAGTTTACTTAAGATTAGAATCAATGCATTAGTCTATTAAAATGGAATTCGCTCGTAACATCATTAACTAGAGGTTCACATCAACATCAACTTTTCTTCATTTGTAACATTATTTACGATTTACCCAATTATGCAAAATATTGCTCATACCTTAATACGTTTTTATAGCATACACTGAAAGTTATAATGTATGATATGGTGGCTACAAAAATGTTGAGGAGTGTCAACTCTGCGTCATTAAGCAGTTTGGGATATTAAAGAGAAGAGTGTAACGAAACATCGCTTACAGTTTTGTTGCGAGAATCAAGTTCTAAAACAATTTCAGGCGTATTTCTGAAGCTGAACGAGGTTCGCTAATATTGTTTTCATGTATTGGCAGTTTGTTATGAGAAAGTAATAGTATTGCACTTACGAAATTCCTATATTGCACTATATGAAAATAATAACATTAATGGTGGTGTGAAAAAAGAAAACGATTTTTCGACTTTAGCTCAAAAATTTTTATTATCAAATTTTCTGGATAAAATAAAAAATAAAATGATGTACAGTCTGTTTCTTTTCCCTTGATATTTTAGGGTATCGGAGAAAGAAAAAAATTAAGATATCTGTCTTGTTTTCTTTTTTAGTGTTTGGCGGAATCAAATCTGCGCTAACTAGATTGATATCAAAAACATTTACATTGCATTAACAACCATAAAAACAAACCAAAACCTATAATAACAACCCAATAATGATATCATACCTTGTGTTATAACAATTAGTCATGTGAATGTGCTCCAATTATTTTCGACTCTGTAACTGAACGAGTAACGTTATAGATCTGACTATTCTTGTTATGCAATTAATAAAGTTTATTCTAAATTCTACATTGCTCCGTGTTTTATATATTTCAGTTTTAGTAAATAACTGAAAATAAATGTCGAGGAGCGTCAGGTCGGTGGTCCATATATACCAAGCCAGTTTTCAGTCAAAATTGGGACTTAGTAAGCCGTTAAAAAAACATTATTTATTTTATCCTCTGTCATCACACATTCTTCCAAAATTTGCACGTAATCTTTTAGCATTTAGTATAATATCAACGAAAAGAAATCAAGCTGTACATGGGGATGTTGAAAACCTTTGAAGATACAAGGTACATTAAATGAAGTAAAAACTACTCTCTTCTCTACCTAAATATAATCAAACTCTGTATTATATCTTAAATAGCTACTGTTTCATAATTATAGTTTGAAAGACAACAGTTCGCAATTTTTTAAAAAACCACAATATTTTCTTTGTTCTAAGTTCTGTAGTTTGTAGCTAAGTTCTTCAAATTTTCAAGATATGGATAATATGATACGAACCCAATATACGTTTTACATACTTAAGAAGACTTGATTTATTACCAATAATTCACGGTTACAGTTCGGTTATTATTCGTAGTTAGTCACTTGAATTCAATATCAAATTTACCTGTGACACATGACATAGAAATTAATAAAACCTTTAATGGTTTCTATCCACAGCCCGAAAACCTTCAAGACCTTGATGCCACAGTTTTTCTTATAGAATTTCGAAAGTGTGTGTGAGACTGCTTAAATTAAAGAGTTTTTTTTTTACAGCTGCATAGTTCTACCACAATTCTTTCTTGTAACTTTCGATTATTAGATCTGAACTTCAGTTGGTTGCCCCAACGCATCATTTGTTCACTACTATCCCTTGGCCGTTTACGTAATTTATTTCAAATAGTTAAATGCGATGCGGCGGCTCTAGTCCGCAACATACATTTCATTAGGGTAAGGGAGTTTTGTCTCATTAACTTGCATCATAAACTGCAGTTACTTGCAAACACCAACAATGATCTTTGAATAAATTCACTAAATCTAAGAAAGTTCATTTCCGGCAATATGCTCGGCACGTCGATGTAAGGGGGTTTTATTCAGTACGAGATACTACGTCATCGGATATTCTTTTCAATGAAACCCTAATTTTCAAGAGGTAAATGAAGATACTATACACCTGCCTAGCAAATTTCAAATTTTAATTCCTTGTCATTTAAAAACCACAACATTATTTGTTGTGTTATATGGCATACACTGTAAGTCAGCCTAATAGTTATAATATTTTTAATGTTTTCTAATAATTTTGCAAAAAATATATGAATTCTATCGGACTGATAAAAATTGTGCGAAATTGACTTTTTGTTGGAGAATTGTGACTGTGGGCAGATATATTACAGAAACTCCGACTGGCGGTTGACATTAACACACTCTATATGTGAGAGGAATGAAGAACTCTTTCAAATCATCATAACTTATTTTTTTATATTATTTGATTAATTAAAATGAAATATTGAATATGAAAACCGTAACCTTTTCATACGAACACGAAAATTACTATTATATTACTATATATAGGTTAAATATTTTTTTATCGAAAGCCGTTTCCAAAATATCAACCGCCGGCATATTATTGGGAAATCCTTTGTGTTTGATAACTTTGGCCGTACAATTTCGAGATGAAACACTGAATTTTAAGGTAAATTTTCGATGTACAACACGAAATTAGCCGATGTATAACATTTTATTTTTTCAAAAAGCGCAATTTAAGATGCTAATCAACAAGTTCATCTGCAGCATATGAAATACGAATTTCATTTCATTTATGCTAATAAAAAATGTCAACCACAAATATTGTTTTATTAAATAAAATTGAAATTACGCGCGAATTTTATCACCCAGTTTTGGTGAGTTTTATTTTGTAAATATTTCACCGGAACTTCCCTAAATTGCCTGATTATCGACGGTGACTATTTAGATACCTACAGACTTGCAACAAATCTGCGCACGTCGTTGCGATATACGTGACCAACAAGTTGCGTGCTTTTCCCAAACATAAACGCAATGCTGCAAGTCTGTACGGACTTTCAGATGCTCGTGTTGGAGTCATTGAAAACTATCGAAAAACCATTTTTTCAGTTCTTCAAAAGTACTAAAAATGGAAGCGTACGACGCAGCTGTGCTGTCTTATGCTCTAGCAACGGCAACTTGCAAACCCAAACCCAATTTGCTAGGCTTGACTTCATCCAGCGCGCCGGGACTAGTTTCTTCTCCCAAAGAGGGTGACGATATAGATTCCAGGAGCTACTTGTATCAGCTACTTTACAATATGGAACAGATGATGCTAAGCAAAACGAATATACCATTGTCGCATCTTATGGAAGTATGTTCTATGAAGCAATCGCAGGTGGGACCCTTTATATGTTTACTGAGCCTGATACTTTAGAGCATTGTTACATGACGTCATACAATTCCGTAGTGACTTCTAGCCGGCGTTTTTGTGCGCTCATTGGAGCTGTTGCCCGTCTATTGGTTAATACGCATGGTCAGGGCTCATATGTTGAAACGAAAGTTTTTTCCTCGAGCGCCACCCTTTTAGGTGCTGTTTTAACACCATTAGATATGACATTTTTGAATTCGTGTTTTAACAGGCAGAGGGAAGAAGACTGTTTTCTAAAACACAAGAAAATATTCAAAAAATACGTACATTAATTATAACCACTTTTATCCCACGCACGTTGTATAAAACATTCTAACTCGCTCTGAAGGTGAATGAGTTTTTCTACATAATATTTCTGGCACAAGTGTGGTAAACGGCATTTGAGTCACGAATTTATTTGACACGAGCGGAGAAGTGTTGACTGACTTAAAGTTTACCAAACGTGTTACATATTAATTAACCGAAACTATACCTTTTCTACGACCATTAGTTTTTGGGTCATTTTTGGAAAACAACCCCGGTACATTCACTAACAACCGTCAGAATTGACAATAGTCAAAATTCAATGCGGTGGGAAATAATTCCAAGTGGCCCGGATCCGTGAGAAACAAAACCAACTTAGTAAAATGACACTTTCCGCACGCTAGATCGGTGTATAATCGGACATTTTAGAAAAGGGAGTCGAAAATAGTATATTATGCAACAAGTGCGGTACACGGCAAACGTGTTGCATACTATACTTTTTCTACAACCGAAAGAAAAAGACTGGAATTGAAAGAAAAATCAAACAAGGATAGAGCTTTTAAGAGGATAAAATTTTTAAAAATGGTATGTAAAGTTTCCATGGGAAACTTAAATTCTAAATGTCGCTTTACTTGCCGAATAGTCCACTAGATTTTAATTGTAGTTTATAGCACGTAGTATTTAAATTGTCCCAAATCTGTGTGGTAAAATCTCGGACATGCCCGAAGTGACTCGGATCCGTGGGAATTCAAACTGATGTGGTAAAGTGACACTTGCCGCACGCTAGATCGGTGTGTAATTAAGTATTTTACAGACGGGAGTAGAAAAAATTTCTACCACTTCCGGTTAAGGGATGTCATGTGAAAATGCTCTTATTGGTCCCGCTACAATTATTAATGTAACCTTTTTTGGCATTTCCGTTGTGTTTACTATTAGTTTGTTCAAAATATCCCTTTTCTGCATATTCAGTGCTTTTGTGTTTCTCAATATGTGCATTCATTTGTTTTGCAGATTTTTTAGTTTTCATATTTTATTCGCCATCTTTAAATTAAAACAGGTAATATTACGAACAGACTTGAGAACTAGTTATAACCTATCTACAAAAATCTTTACTTACACAATTGCATAGGAACTGGCAAGTAACTTAAATCCATTAAAATAAAGATTCAAAGCATTGAACAATTTAAAAATTAACAAACAGATGTTGCCATCCTTCTTAAAACTCAATTTTTTCTGTAAACTACATTGTCTATTCCAAATTCTGCATGTTATACTCGATCGTGGCGTGATCGTAAACACCCATTTTTTGTGACGTGCTTTAACAACCGGAACTGTTTAAACAAAATTTCAATTTAAACAGTACAACACAAAATTTACCGTTTATTTTTGGTCTGAGTATTTTTTGTTTCAAAAGTATCTGTGTTTTTGTGATTTTTTAAAGACTTGTTTATGTACATTTTAGGTAGAAAATCAAATTATTGCGACTTTAGAAAACTTGCTTGGAGAGTTGCGACAAATATGCAAGTCCAATCCTGGAGCGATACATCTTTTGCATTTAAATTTTGAAGGTAAGTAGTTGCTTGATTTCTACAATAAATTGTTGGTTTTTCACTCTAATACCAATTTTAGGAGAGGATAAAAAAGCAGGAGCGTTGAACACAGATTCTATTTGTAAAACCTTAGGAGATCTGTTAAGGTTATTTGGACTAAACGTAGGAGCAAATCTACTTAAAAATAATCATTCTAATGTATAGTTGTAAACAGTTATACAATTTTTTTGTAAAATCAGCGTAATTATTTTATGCACTTGTGCTAAAAAAAAATTAATTATATTATTTAAGAAGCTGATTGTTTATGTGATTTTTCAAATAAAACATGATATATTTTCAAAATGTATTAATTTCAACCCTAGTACAACATTAAAATGAACATTAAAAAGTATCATCCTACAAATCATGTATTTGGTTTATACAGCTAAGAATTGCCTTACGAAATGTCTAGGTATAGTTAGAATGCTGGAGAAAATCAAATAAGTCGCCTTTATCGCAGGACTTATGGAAATCAACTGTTTCTTATTTGTCATCCTTGTGAGTAATCCACAATAAAAACCGTTCTAACCAATGTTAAAGATGTTTGTTAGTCCAGCTCTGGTTATTAAATTCAGGGTATTATGTGACTAAATTTACATATTTTAATCCCATTTAACCGATTCTATATCTTTAATTAACGTTACCCTGTATAGGTACTAGAGGTAGAGGAACATATGAAAGAACTACGAAAACATTTTTAAGAAGGTCCGTTCAACATGCGCCAGCACGAGATTTAAAATGTCGCTTTTAACCAATAACCTTGCGGCACTTAACAACCAACATGGCCGCTGATAGGTCGCCAATAAGTTTTGATGCGGCCTTTTTACGGCAGTATTTTCTCAAAAGTGCACATATTTTAACTGGTAAGTTGTTGCTGGTAGACAAGGTGCAATTTTTTCGAGCAAAATGGCTTCATTATTTTGGTGAATTTTTTTTTAAGGTTTTGATACAATAAATTATACTTTTTAGTGTATAAGGAAAATCCATAATCTCTCTTCTGTGCAATTCTTAAAAATTTGGGGATAATTTAGGTTACATATTGAAATTTTTTTATTGGTTTGTTCTATAGTAGTTCCTAATTTTCTAAATAAAATTGATTAAATTTAGCAGTACCCACCGTTTTTTTTAAACTTCTCCATTAACATTTTTTGTTTTTATAAGCCTTAGGAGATTCTATAGGTGTTTGTTGATGATTTGTTCCACGTAGATTTTTTCTATTCGATAATTAGTATCCCTTATAGTTTTCTTGACACTTGTTAAGAGTAATTTTGTGCGATTTTGACTTTTTTTGTAGTAGAAACGTTGCAATATTTACATGAAAAAATACATTCAGAAATACATATATTGCAATGTATCTACCGGCTAAGACCGAATCTCGACAATGGGCGAATGATCCTAGTAAATTGACCAACTTTTGTGAAGAAATTAAATCATAAATGATGAAAAGAAGAGGAAAAAATTCCGTGGCATTCGAAAATGACAGGGAAAACGTGATTATGAGTAAATAAGAAATTAAGTAAACTCATTTACTTAAAAATATTTCTAATAATTGTGTTCCAAGGTAAAAATCATGACAGACGGATTTATTCACTCAATAAAAGTTCCTCGGCTTTATAAAGAAGCTGCAAAAATAATTCAGGAAGTCGCTGAGAGTGGTGGCAGTATTAAGCAATTAGTTTTTGAAAAAAAGTACTTCGTAAGTAATAATGGTTTGCACGATCTCTTAAATTGATTTTTATTTGGTTTTTCCAGAATGTAAATGCTTTGTATGCCTTGGTATTATTGCCAATTAAAAAAGCAACTGAAATTGCCTTTTTGTTGAAAAGGATAAATCTGTTAGAAAAAGAGCCCAGGTTAAATCCGTGGCTAGCAAAAGTTTTAATATCCGAATTATTGTGGGGCAAAAAGTGTCTGCCCCAAATTGAATGCAAACCTATTCAGACAATTCTGGCTTATGAACAATCCTTTAAAGCACACCTCAGCGATACTTCCATAAATAATGAGACAATTTCAGGTAACATGTTTTTTTTTTCAGTTTTTGCATTATGGACAAAAATAGTTTAGAAGAAAAAACAAGTTTTTTGAAGGATGATGTTATTAGGGAGAGTACTCCATTATTGCCACCACATACACGACAAGCAGCAAAAGCTCTGGCTTTGTTGCTGTTTTTTAGTTTTTTAATGTTTTCATTACCCTTTGGGGCGTACTTTGGAACCAACTTCATACTGAAGGATTATTTTCATGTTCATGGTTTTGCAAATACCGTTTGGTCAGTAATCGCTGCAGTGTTTACTGTAAATTTAATTATAGCAGGTTATGCATACCTTGCTTATCATGATGCAGAATATGATAATGAAGGAAATTTGATTGTGGACAAATCCGAATTGGATCAGAAGAATGACTGAATGCTGAATTTTTTTCACCATCATCCATTCCATTTATAGTAGTTTACTTTAGATTGTAAATAACTTGTAAAATAGACCATAGATTACATATAAGTGTTTCAAAGAGTTGGCATTAAATGATTTTTAAGTAATAAAATATAAGTTTCTTCAGTTAGTATTACATTATTTGCATCGGTTTGTTGGCCTATTAATCTTCACTTTGGTGATTTGCAAAAAAAAGAATTCTTTTGTTGTGCAAATTTTGCTGTGAAAGGCAACTGAAATAGGTAATTGCTAGTGCTATTAAAAAAATCAAAATAATTATTAAGTCATATAAAATTTGGTATTTTTTTTAAATACAAAAGGTGCTTAGGTAGGGTTTTAGAAAACGTTCCATCTAAAACAAAGGAGATACTTAAAACACCCAAAAAACTAAAAGCTTATATTTTTAGGTGCTTGATTAAAAAAAAAAGAAAACAATTGGACATATTTTTTTGTCAAAACATTTTTTAAAAACTTTTGCACCTTGTATCTTGCGTAAGGCATTTCGGATCTACGTTTGCCTTTTTGCTGTAGAGTTACTCAAAGAATCACTTCAAGTTTGGTCTAATACTTGTTAAATTCCGTAATATACTCTATAATTATTATTCAGTTACTCAACAAGAAAGGAGAAAAGATCATAATTGATTTCAAGTTGGCGCCTTCTAGCAACTATTGATCTACAACAATAAGAGTGATTTGTTATTTATATTATGAACTGTGAAGCGTCACAAACCAGTTATAAGTTGATGTACTCATTTCTTCTAGTTAATATACCAAAAAAGAAGCCGCGGTATGTTCGTATCAACACGTTGTTAATAACGTTTGAAGAAGCATTAGATCATTTTCAAAGGGAGGATTGGATTTTAATTAATCCTCATTGCGATTATCGTCAATTCCTGGAGCAGGTGGAAAACTTGTCGGGTAATTATTTTCTTAAAGACCTCCACGTACCGAATTTGGTAATATTTCCATCGGGCACGAAATTCTTCGGACATGTGGGTTATAGAGACGGGTGGATCATACTGCAAGACAAGGTAGATGTAATTAATTTAGTTCTGAAAAAATGTTTAAATTTATTTTTAGGCCAGTTGTTTGCCGGCGCATATTTTAAACCCTGTTCCTGGAAGTGTAGTATTGGATATGTGTGCGGCACCGGGCATGAAGACCACTCAGTTAGCGGCAATGTTAAGCAACGATGGTACAATCTATGCCGTGGAAAGAGACGCGAGGAGGTATAAAACTCTCGAGAAAATTGTAGGAACTAGTGGCGCCACTTGTGTTAGAACAATTAATAATGATATATTGGCGTGCACTAATACAGAGTTTCCTGAAGTCAAATACATTTTGGTCGACCCAAGTTGTTCAGGTTCAGGTAAGCAAACAATGAGTGGATATGTCGCATAGTATACATATTTATTACAGTCATTTCTTAAATAATTTTGTCACGGATCTCTTGAAATATGTTTTGACATAGAAATTTGGATTCCTTTAAGTATATACTGCAGGGCGTTATTGAAATAACATGATATAATTCGATGAGTGATTCTCGGCGATCCACACTTTTCTTCTTCTGTCTTGGGTGAGATCCTCTCTCTGTTTTTTCTTTCTTTTCTATAGGGGTTCTCTTGCTGCCCAAGCTTTTTTTTTTCCGAACCCGTCGCTATTAGGATAGACGAGGGCTAGGGTTTATCTCTTTTCTGAGCTTTTTTCTTTTCTCTCAAAAACCAACCCTACGTTTTGGCATAACAGCGAAGCGGCGTGAGAAAGCAACGTCGCTAAAAGCACATGGAATGGCAAATAGAAAATGTGGAAGTATATCCAATACACCTAATAAGTTTATGTGCCGGTCGGAGATGGAAGAGTTTATAAAAACAAAACTTGAAAGCTAAAATGCTCAAGATGATTGAAGGATTAAGTTAGCCGGTAAAAGCCCTATCCAAGGCTGCAGCAAGTAATGAAACTGTTATTGTACAACATAAAAGAGTGTTTAAGGAACATGATGAGAAGGCAGAGGCACTAGCACAGCACTAACATAGACTAGACACTCTGCTTCAAGAAGAATGGGAACAAAATGCTTTTCTGTCAACTAAATTAATAAATGAAAATTTATAAATGACTTTTGCCGAAAATAACCTAGAAAAGGAAAGGTCAGACGAGGTAAGTCTGAATGTATCCAACTAAAAAAAGCACAGGAGCCGGATCTAATACCATAATGCCTAATGCCTACGGCGAATGAACCAACGAATACTCGATGATTTCCATTTGAATGGAAAAAGTGCCGATTAGTCTTAATCGAGAAATCAGGTACAAACTGAGGCTACGTATAGACTGTTAGGTCTAATTGATCAGATGGGCAAGCTGCTAGAACAAGCAAAGCAGTTTGGCTTCGTTAAAGTGAGACAGATGCCATAAAAAGAGTTATGATGGAAGTACAAAAGGCTAAGAATGTTGCACCCAATAATAGAAAATTATATTTTTTCATCACGCTTGGTGTCAAAAATGTTTTTAATCCTGCCCCGTGGTTGAGTATTATTAACACGCTAAAATCCACCCGCGGTGTTTCTGCTGATATATATGCGAAACAGATTGGTTACAAACGCACGCGTTGTGTTTTCTTTACGTTTCAGAAAACAGAAAGAGCTTTTATAGATTATTTCTCTTTTTCTTTGGGTTAAATTTTTTGGGTATTATTTATAAAATTCGTGGTGTATAGAAGTGAGGTTTTTGCGGATAAGTGACTTGGAGTGACTTAAGTGCCTCGAGCGCAGATGCTTTGAGAGGAACGTCACTGTATTTAATATACAGTGCATTTTCGAAAATTCGAATCGAACGGTCACCGTTCTTAATGGTTAAGTAAGTTCGCTTTAACGATGCTGTCTCTAATGATATTGGATGGCCATCCAGGAAGATCCCAACTGATGTAAGTCGCTTTTTTTCTGATAATCTCTCATTGCTGCCGTAGGTTAATTTTGGGTCATACAAACAGGTCTGCCTTCCTAGTGGACTTGCGTTTTTTCACTACGCTCAGCTTTCGAAGCAAAATCATTACCACTTTTTATTTGTTTGAAGTTATTTAATATGTTTCTTGCTCATATTTCTGAGGTTGTTTATTTAGCGCAATTTTGTTGAATATTTAATTGTGTACGTTCCTTATCACCGGATCAAACACGTCGTTAATTGGGCAAGGATACTTACTTCCATTACCAAACTTACATCGGGTGGTTGTAAAAGTTGAAGTTGTCATTTGGAACCAGCTTTTGTGTCGTCAAACTATTAACCATCTTAGATTTTTTCTAGTTGTAAGTTAATTATGTCGGTTGATATGGGTGCAGTTTGCCAAAGTCATGTACTAGATAAATAGACTGAATGCGTTTCTGAACTTATTTTGCAGCATGAAATATGTGGCACACATATGTTCCAGCCATTTGGTAATTGGGTTCTGGTAGCGTGGTTGTCATTCTAATAGCCAGATGTTCAGTGCTGGATGTGAGTGCCAGGGTGGGGTCCAGATTCCATTATTATACTATAAGATGTCATTTTGATAACGACCTGACTAATACTTTTTATAAAACTTCTGATTTCCTCCTGCGTCGGTTTTTGTTGAGTCGAACTAGCTAACGTTTCGCCAAGCATCCTGTTGGCTTCTTCAGAGCTTGACTGAAACTGGCTCGCATTTTACTCTTTACATGCCTTTATTTTGTTTGACGTGATGGGGTTGGGTTTGGTGTTGTGGGGTGGGTAGGATGGGGGGCTCTCGACACCTTCCATCAAAAACCGAAATTAAGGAAACGCGCTACGTCGATGATACTTTTGTTATTTGGCGTCATGGTCAGGAATCCCTAGTAGATTTTCTTAGACATTTAACATACACCCTAACATACGTTTTACCATTGAAATAGAAGCTAATAACAACCTCCCATTCTTTCATTGTGTTTACTGGAAAAACTATGCACGCAGACCGATACCTTAGTGCATTGTCACATCACCATCAGGCCCAAAAATCGTCGGTTATCAACTCTGTTGTTTACAGAGGCGTAAAACCATCTCAGCCCGTGTGATTGAACCCAGAATTAAAACACCTTACCTAGGCTCTTGTCTCTAATAATTTCCACATTAAAGCTATTAAGCGTTCCATCACAAAATACACTTCACCACAACCTTCCAATAGCAATGAAACCGAAAGCAATGCAACACTTGCCACTATTGTCCTTGCTTATATTCAAAACATCACTGACCACATATCAAAAATTCTAAAGAAATAAAAACCAGATTTACCACTTGTCCAACATCTTCAATCCGTCAAAGACAAAATTCCATTTGAGATGCCAGGAATTGACAGCATTCTATGCATATGCGACAAAGAATACATTGGAGAGACCGGATGAAAAATATCAACTAGGCTTAAAGAACATGAAAGAGACTTAAGGCTAAGACAAAAAACTCATCAGCAGTTGCCGAACACAATCACGGAAAATTTATAAGCATCCTAACAATCTTAATCGCCACTCAAGTCTCTATCTGTCACCAATATCGGAATCAGTCAGCTGAGAGGGTGTTTATGCCCTTCATTTAGCTCCGCCCCCATGAAACAATATAAATGCAGGTAGAGAGTAAAATGCGTTTCAGTTTCAGTCAAGCTCTGAAGAAGCCAACGGGATGATTGGCGAAACGTTACCCAGTTGGACTCAACAAAAACAGTAGCTTGTGGAAGTTTCTTTGAAAAGGCCTTACTAATGTTACTCAATTTTTTAAAAGAAATTTGCTCAGTTCTAAATTCGTTACTAATTTAAACTAGATCCATGGTAAAAACTAATTAAAAATAATTAAAAATATCCTGTATCTTTCATTTCGTATTTTGTTTGGAAAGAGATCATTAATATTTAATTTGTTTTAGGAATGACCGATCGGTTAGAGTTTCATGAAGAACAAAGCAAAGCGCGCCTAGAAAAATTGGCAGGTTTTCAAATAAAAATTTTGAGGACTGCTCTGACAAGATACCCTAACGTAGAGAGAGTCGTATATTCTACATGTTCCACTTATCCTGAAGAAAATGAGGATGTGGTCAGACAAGTTTTAGAGACAAACTATGTTTTTAAGTTGATGGACGCGAAAAAATTGGTTGACGAAAACTGGTTAAGTTACGGTTCATCAGACTACGGAGATATTGGAAAATTTTGTTTGTATGCGAAACCAGATAAGGATTTTACAAACGGTTTCTTTGTAGCTGTTTTTGAGAGAGTAAAAGAAGGGGAACGCAATGAATTTTTTAATAGTAAACTTTTCAATTATAAGAAGCACATTGAACAGAAAAGAATCAATAGGGAAAATCGGAAAATCATTACAATCGAAAAAGAAAAGGACGACATCGAAGAAATTAATGACGTTATTAGTTTAGAGCGGCATAAATGGAAACATACTGAAGAATGTAAAGAGAGTGAAGGTTTAGCTATGCAGCAAAATGATAAGCTGGATCAAAATAATAGTGATGCCACTTACGAATTACACACGGAAAAGGAGAAATCAGGAACTCACTTGGATGAAAGTGAGGCAAACAGCGATAAGAAAAAAAAAGATAAAAAATCATATTCAATAAAAAATGCTGACTTAGCTGTTACTAGGGATGAAGAGTGTAATTTACATTTAAAGGAAGAAGCTGATGAAGATTGTATCATGTCTGATTCTAAATTGAAGTTTTCAGTAGGAAAGATAAAAAAAACGAAATTGCTAAAAAGTATAGGTTATAAGAAGCAAGCAAGCAATAATTGTGAATTAGGTCTTGATGTTTGTACCGCTTGCGATTTTAAACTAAATTGTTTAGTAGAAAAAATGGAAAAAACGAAAGTGAAGTACACAACAGATGCTAATACACAAGTTTGTAATAGAGATGAGGATTGTACCAAGTCTGATTTTAAATTAAATTGTTCGGAAGACACGATAAAGAAAAGTAAATTGCAAAGAAGTGTTGCCTGTGATAAACAAGTTAGTAACAGTAAGCTAGGTCATGAAATTTGTACCACTTCCGATTTTAATTTCAATGGTTCAGTAGAAAAGAAAAAGAAAATTCAAAAAATGATAGAAGTTAATGATTCTATAATTAATTGTTCAGTAGAAGAGATAAAGACAGGGAAAAATAAAAAAATGACGGATGTTAATCAAGTTAACAATAACGAGGTAAGCGACAAAGATTGTGTCACATTCAATTCTAAATTGAATGATTCAGTAGAAAAGCGAAAAAACAGGAAAATTCGAAAAACGATAGATGTTAATGAGATTGATAATAGCGAGGTGCATGATAAAGATTGTACCGAGTCCAACACTAAAGGGAATTGTCCAGTAAAACAGATAAAAAAAAAGAAAAATGGAAAAACGATAGATGTGAATCATGTGCATCATAGTGAGATTGGCGATGAAGATTGTGCTAAGATCAATTCTAAATTGAACGATTCAAAAATGTGGAAAGCAATAGAAGATAACAAGGAAGATAAACAAGTTAGTCACAAGAAAGACCAATTAAAATTAGCCGTAATTAAGAATGAAGCTGAAAAAAAAGAAAGTGATTTAGAATTAATATTTAAAATTAATAAAAAGAAGCATCGAAAAAACTCGCATGATAATTCGGATGCGTTTATTATCCCTGTAATTGGAGCAAAATCGATGTGCAAATTAGAAAGAAAAAAAAGGAAAAAATCCAACAGTGCGGACGTTGATATACAATTGGAGACAAGTGATGAATATTATAAAAAGAAAAATCGAAAAGAAACACTTGATAATCTTGACGTGTTTAGCTCCATTGGAGCAGAATCAACTGATGAAACAGAAAGGAAAAAAAGGAAAAAACCTAAAAAGAATCGAAGAACGTCGCTTAATAGTTTCGATGCGTTTAGCCCTATTAGATCAGAATCAATTTCTGAAGTAAAAAGAAATAAAAAGAAAAAACCCACAAGTGTGGACAACGATATACAATGGATGACAAATGATGAGGGATTAAAAATTAATTCAATGCTAAATAAAGATAACACGAAATCAAAACGTGAAGTATCTAAGCATGTAAAAGATTTTGGTCTCATCGATATTACTGGCAATTTAGTTACCGAATAAGAAGGTAATTTCCGCAAAGAATAAGAAAACAATTGAGGAAAGAACCGTGACTACTAGCGTGTTGATCAGATCCGTTTTAATTTTGTTATTACTGTACTTTTTACTGATATTACTTAATTTCCGACCAATAAAAAGACTGTAATCAGAAAAGTTTTTTCAAAATATAAAACTTTATTGCCAACCGTGTTTTCTTTGTTTTTAGTTTTGTGTGTATTTATATTAGCAGAGTGCAAGAGGCGAATTATATATTATATAAGAAAAAACATAGGATGCATTAAAAGTGAAAAATATTCAATAGCAAAAGTCGAGTAAGCGCTGCAACCGAAAATGACAAAAAATTCAGAACGCCCTCCTACAAAACGAGTTTTGAAATGACTAGCGCATGCGCATATCCAATCTCTCTTCCATTTTTTTATGTTGCTTCAAAAGCATAGGCAAGGGTCTATATATCTAGTAGCTATATTGTTTGAGCTAATAAATCAAGTATGACGATTATAAAATATGTTAAAATAAAAAAAAGAGTGGAGCCATCTGTTGTTGGCCAACTTACACTATTATCAAGTTATTTAACAAAACTTTATAGTGACACGTATTATTAGTTATATCTATAGAAAAAGACTACTAATTAATTTCCAAATTGCCAAGAACTGCCACTATTTCTATATAAGTAAATTTATAGTGTGACAAAATATACTGGGTGTTGCAATGTAATGTTTTGCTACACAGTATAATTACTAGAAATAGACAGGAACAGATCACAAAGTCACTTGTTATTCCAGAAACTTGCATTTCAAATACGTACAGCATGTAGTTCACCCTCAATTTTCAGAAAAAATTATTCTTTAAAGAGGCTCGCGTGATTTACGCGAAATATTCGAACCTAAGTACCATATTTAGAGCCGCCTGCCACGCTCATATGGAAAAAATTCGATCGTAGACGACACGACGCTCGGCGTCGCGTCGTGTTGACCTCAATTTAGTACCGCATTCGGTGTAACAGTTTTCCTCCTCAGCACGAGTCATTCGTTATATTTGCGGCATTTTACATCAGATGAATTATTAATTTTGATAAATTTTAACCACTGTTAATGAAGTAGAAATTGAAACAAATGCCTCGTTTGCGTTTCAAGTTTCGGAAATGGTCTATTTAGATAAGCTGGAAAAAGTAGCAATAACCCAACATAGGAGTGGGGACTAATTCAAAATTCCGATTACAAATTAGCACTTGGATACATTTAGCGAAAATAACTTATGGATATTTAATTATTGATTTTAATAATGCACTGAACAGTTGCGCATTTAAATGCCTCACGACGAGCCATTTAGAATGTTCTCAGCCAAATTGCAAGACACTTCCTACTTTTATTATCGGAGCAAATAGAATCTCTGATTCGCTCCTAATCGCAGCTTTAGCCATAGAATGCTGTATAGATACTAATTACAAGATCGAAATTCGTCTTGTAATTGACTTATCACTTTACATATGTTAGTTGACGTAAGTGAATACTAACTAAATCACACTCTATGATCGTAAATCTAAACGACTCGCAAGACTATATCATTTTCCATGAATTATTAATTAATTGTGGTTCCTTTATAGATTATACCAAATATGTTACTTTTCCTATTTACCTACTATAATTTTTTTATTTTTTTACTTACGTTAGGTGGTTTGAGATGACTAGGACTGATTTTTCCTACTAGTTTCTTGGCTTTTTTATAGTCGAGACAGTCCTACACCCGGGAAAAAGCAAATTCAAATCATTATTTTATGCAACAAGTTTGATAAACGCCATTTTAGTCACGAATGACTGAAAAAATTTATGAACGTGTTAACATGTTATAGTTTTTCTACGATTAGCACCAACACATTCACTGACAAACGTCGAATACCATCAGCAGCTAACATCCGCCAGTGGAACTCAACAGGGGTTAATGAAGGTGACACTGAGCACGCTTACTCAGTACATGATTGGGTATTTTCGAGTAGGAAGTAGAAAAATAATATTTCAACAATCATTATTTGATTAGCTACCAATAAAGTACCTTCATTAAAACTTTTGAAAGGCTTGTAAATGATTATATAAATTTGAGCTAAGCTAAATCTGTTAGCACTACACCAGAGAAATGAAACTAAATATGTAACTCAACTCAACTAAAATCGTTTCACTACCTCTCCCTATGGAGCAGCGTTCGTTTCCTTTCTCGAAATAAGTTCCAAATATTCCAGTTGTCTCTTGACAGGTAGAATCTATAACCACACCCCCATTCTGCTTTTTAGAGTTTCTTTGAACCATATAGTTACTAGAGGTATAGAGGCCCTGCCTATGCTGATAATACAGGTATGGTACGTCTTAATCTTCAGCGTACTGGCTTTTGCCCGCAATTATGGAAGTTACCTGTCGACGGCAATAAAACTCTGGTCCGGTAAGCATTAAAGGGAGGTGTTTATTTAGGTCGGTATAATCTTATTAAGTTACGCTACAAAAAAACAATGACATTAAATATATACAATAAACTCATATGTAGGACTATCTTTACATTATTACATTTTTATTCTAAATGTGTATTATACAGTGAGTTTGAAAATCACTTAGATTTATTCCAGTATTAATAATATCCCTTATCGACAATATTGGCGTTTAATAAGTCCCATTTTTCGAAACGCACAGGAAAAACAATTATTCAACACTGCCACAAATGATCAACACTCAAGAAATATATCAGGAAGAAAGTAATATAGCCGTCCCACTCCTGTCTTTTCAAGTAAGAATAAATTTTTTGTTAATGGCTTTACCCAATAACAATTATTAGGTCCGTCCAAAGCTAATAACGATAAAGATTCAGGCAGACTATACCTATTTATTTATTTATAAACAAGTCTTTCCGACAGTCAGACGCAGCTGTCCAATAAAAGGAAAGTACAAGATGTCACAAAAAAATATACTTTGTCAGTGGACTAGTTTAAATTATTTTCTACAAGCTAAATCTAATTAAGAACTAATTACATTGCCGTCTTAAGTTTCGTTTAAAAACTTCAAAGCTTAGAGCAAATAGGTCAAGATCTGGAAACGTGTTTTCTGCCCTGTTATAAGTACATCTGATAAATGGAGAGAGAGAAGAGTAGTTTGAATGATATAGAGATGCAGCGAACGTTTGTCTATTTTGAAAAATGTAGGAATTACAGTTAAAATATATTTTTTCCAAAACGGAAGGAGATTCAGTCAAATCGTTTCCATCTTGATAAAGAAATAATAAGTCAAATTTTTTCTACGATTTTCCAAAGAATGCATACAATAGAAACCCTCTAACCTTATAATATATATATAATAATAAATAAAATGGATTCCAGACTGGCGTAGCATATTCCAACACGTGCCTGACAAGACTGTAAAAAAGTATTAATTTTTTTTATTATTAAACCCATTAGTCGCCCGTAAAAGAATCCAAGACTCTTTAGAGCCTTTTGAAAAATGTTTTCTAGGTGCATCTGAAAAAGAAGCCCCGAGTCCATTGTAATACCTAGGTGGAGATCACATTTAATTTGCAGTTATGGTAATTTTTTTGTAAACAAATTACAGTGACATTTCTCAGGATTAACAAACTGTTCAGAGAACAATATTCTTTCCAATTTGACAAATTTCTCTGCAACAAGACCTAGTCTGCCGCCGAGTGAACCAATTTTTAAATTTTTCGATCGTCTGCGGACGAGGAGTAAGTACTATGTAAAAAGCACTGGCCAACTTCATACAGGAAAATGGCAAACAATGAGGGACCCAAATGCGGTCCCTGAGTGCCCCCGAAGTTATATTGGTACTCTTTGATTTTATCCCAGGAGGCCAAGCAAAACACCGTGTACACCGAAATTCTCCTGTTTCACGGCAAGAGTTGGGTGGTGTATTTTATCAAAAACTTTGGAGAAATCGGTGTAAACGCCAGAAGTCTGGAACCCCTGCTCCATATTGACACTCACTGGCTGAACAAACAAATTAGTTAAATTTCATCTTTTCGGGCCAATGCTCCCCTTGACAACAAAGAATAAATGCTCCAAAACAAGTGACTCAGAGAGAGACCGGTCTGTCTGAGCTACATTAGTTTTATCACCGGATTTCAAAATGGGCACGACTTGGGCGATTTTCCAAACTCCAGGATATCTACAAGTTTAGATGGATTGATTGTATAGCAAAAAGAGGAGCTCACAAAGATCGAGTCATGATTTTAAAAATATCGCATAAAGCATAAAGATTTCTTTACATTTTCTCTCGATATATGATCAACATTAAAACATTTTTGCGATGGAATTGGTTTTATTAGTAAACTGGTGTCAGATGATTCAAAGACACTACTAAAGAAGCTTGAGAAAAGTTCACAGACACCAAGATTATTCGGAGCATGTGAGGTGTAGTACTACCACTATATTATCTAACACCTTTTTTTATTAGGTCACTGCTTCACAAACCGATTTGGCCAGCTTACAACCAGGTTTTAAACTTTTTTAAGCAAATTTATAACGATCACAACACCCAAGGCTCCCTGTGGGAATCAAACTCACAATCTCCGGCTTTGAACACTGACAGAGCCGGCCCAACCCATTTGGGTTGCTCGTCACAGTGCAGTACTGAGTTTATAGCCAGAACTATACACCAACACTTGAACTTGAATTAAACCCCTTACATACTTCTTCTTTTAAGCAATTTGTTTTACTCGTTGCTAATAGCTAAGCTTAGAATTCCGTTTGGGTTCCCACCAAGCATTGGGCGCATACCCAAACCAACCCTTTTATGTGGTTCAAGCAATGATAAAAGTACCCAAGGGTTTGGCCCATTTTTGCGTCGCTGGAAAACCTGCGTTTGACACAATTTCACCGTTACCCCATATCTGGTCAGGCTAGAACAAACCGAATTTTTACGTGTACCGACCTTAATGAAATATTCATATAAATAAACTTCGACCGTCCATACCCAACCCGGCGGCCAAATTAAATTTCCTCCCGTCAAAAAGTAAAAGAATTATCGGCGGTAACCCGTCCGCCGTTGCATGGCGATTCGATATCTCGGAAATCGGCCTGCGGACAAGCATGAAAAACCTCTCGAACGTTAAATACCCTCAAGTCGCGACCGCTTTATCGTATAAGTTATGACGCGGTGGGTGCAGGTCAAGCCAAGTGTGTTTGTTCCGATTAAATCTGTTGTAGTGCCTTTCGATTTCGCGGTCGACACGAAATAGAAGGGTTAGGTCGTCGCCGAGCCGAAAAAAAAACATTATGTTAACTCCGGTAATATATCGCCAGGTAATTCGCACTCAATAATTAAAACAATTTTCGCAGTCCACATAC